TTTTTCCCCAAAAACCCGGCACACGGACATGAAACCTCCCACTATCATCCCCTTGCTCTTACCAGTGCATTTCCCCAAAGGGTGGCGCCTAGTAAAAAGACTTTGTGTGGGATTTAGAGACACATAACATCTCCCACTTGTCAATATGGGTTTCGTAAGGGCCTTCCCAAACCATAGACCCCTTACTACGCTGGATCGTATGTTCTAATGCCTTTTGGGGAATAAACCCCCAGTTTTTGCCTATTTTTTTTGGGCCTTGAGAAGGCATATGACACAACTTGGAGGGATAATATTTTTTGCCCAAAACCCACTCCTTAGGCCTTCGAGGGAATCACCTCCTTCCTTAAGAACTTTTTAACTGACAGGCATTTCCTGTTTGGGGTTTAAAAATGTGCTTCCCCCAAATTTTCCAAGCTGAAGGTTCCCCCAGGGGTGTGTTCTGAGCACAACACTTTTTCTCCTTCATTAATGATTTCCTCTATCTTTCCCCAAATTTTGGGCATCACCTATGTTGTGACTTCGCTTTGCCTGGCAGGCCTTCACCTTATTACGTTTCTCTCCAGCATGCAGTCGACCCCTGTTTTTCCCAAATTTGGCACCACAAAAGGGGGTTTAAATTTTCCAGCACTAAAACCCCCCAAATTTCTTTCACTAGACGCTCTGTCATCTCCGACCATCCTTTGTACCTCTATGGCTCCCGTATCCCTGAACGTGATACAGTCAAGTTTCTGGCCTCCCTTTGATCGTAGGTTTATCCTGGAAACCTCACATTACCTCTCTGAAGGCAATTGTCACAGCCGGGTGAACCTTCTTAAAACCCTTGCTCATCTTTCATGGGAGCTGATCGTCGAACCCTCCTTCGCCTACATTCCACCCTTATTTTATCGAAACTTGATTATGGTGACCAGATCTATTCAGCGGCATCTCCTGCTACTCTCTCTAGCCTTAACCCCATTCATCACCAGGATTACGTTTATGCCTTGGTGCTTTTCGCTCTTCCCCTGTCGAGAGCCTCTATGCAGAAGCGAACGTTCCATCCTTATCCGATCGCCGTGATGCCCATTGCCTTCGCTACTATGTACGCTCTCATAATCTCCGCAATCCTTCCATTTATAGAATGGTCACTGATATTAGTAGACATTCTTAATTTGTTCGCCGCCCCTGTTTACTCCGTCCCTTCTCTCTTCGCCTTCATTCGCTCTTGTCTTCTCTTCAATTACCACCTTTCTATGTACATGTAGCATCTCACTTTTCCCTACCCCCCTGGGAAGTTCCAGCTGTTCGAGTCTGTTCTTTCTCTCTCTCTTGCTCGAAAGCCCAACTGTCTACGGTCGCTTCCCGCTCTCTTTTTCTTGACCACTTTCACTCTCATTCTCATGCCATTGCTGTGTACACAGATGGCTCTGAGTCTTCTGACGGCGTAGGATTCGCAGCAGGGGTTTCCGGACAGCGTCGTACAAGGGCATTTACTATCTTCGGCTAGTATTTTTACTGCTGAATTGTATGCCATCCTTACAGCACTTATCCGTATTGCATCTATGCCTGTGTCATCATTTGTGGTTGTCTCAGACCCCCCTTAGTGCTTTACAGGCTATACAGAAATTTGATACACCTCACACCTTAGTCCTCCGTATCCAACTTGGCTACGCCGCATCTTTACCAAGCATAAAGATATTGTTTTTTGTTGGGTCCCGGGTCATGTTGACGTACAGGGCAATGAACAGGCAGACACTGCTGCGGGGTCAGCAGTACATGACCTACCAGTTTTCATGTAGAGGTATTCCATTTACGGACTATTTGCTGCAATATCTTCCCAACTTCACACCCGTTGGAAAACAACGTTGGTCTACTATGCTCGGCAACAAACTTCAATCTATTAAACCGAGTATAGGTTACTGGCCGTCTTCTTATCACCAGTGTCGAGGTTGGGAGACTACTCTCTCCCGTCTTCGCATTGGCCATACTCGTCTTACTCATGGATATCTCATGGAGAGGCGCCCTGCTCCTCTCTGTGAGAATTGCCAAGTTCCCTTATCAGTCAGCCACATTCTGTTGGACTGCCCACTTTAAACAACGAGCACCCCAGAATTTACCTCCGTCGTCGTCTTCGCTCTGCTGCTCTCTCTTTACCTTCCCTTCTCGCTGATGGACCCACCTTTCATCCAGACTCTCATTGACTTTTTGACAACAACTGACTTACTTCACAAATTCTGATACCTTCAGCCCTTTCTACTTCAATCTCTTGCTACCCTCTACCCCCGTACTATCCCCTGCCCCGCTGTTTTCTTTAACCTACTGATCATCCCTCCTCCCTTCTGCCATCCAATACCCTCGCTTCCTTCCCTACCCTGCAGCGCTGTATAGCCCTTGTGGCTTAGCGCTTCTTTTTGATTATAATAATAATAATTTGGCCCCGCGGTGTCTCATTTCACAGTCGCACTTAATAAACCAGTACCAAAAACAATGGATGAACGTGTGGAGTATTGTTCACTTGACAAGTGACAGAGGCAGACTGAGTCAGGCGGCGGCGGCCCGGGCGGGTGGATGCGTCTGATACAGACGATTTCCGAGTCGATGTATGAAACCCAGAGTAAAAATTCGCTGAAAAAAGTGGCCGAAATCTGAATTGTACGATATTCGGACCAGACGAAAACCAGAGTTTTGCTGTAAAAGTATGTTGTATAGACTATCAGGAATCATTAAAAAATGTACAAGTATATGTTATTGAGGGCAACACAAAACCTTTTATACAGTTTGAATTGTTACTTGAATTGTGATGTCTGCACATTTCTGGATACACAGCTAATGAATGAGTGATGGTGGACATGTTTCCTTCCTTTTAATCATCCTAGCATTGTGGGAAATAGCAGATGTAAAAAAAAATAATGTCTCCCACTGACCTAAAGCATTTGTTGACACATGACCTACGGCTTTGACTTGTGTTTTGTCTTGTACACTTAGATTCTGCTTTCATGCTTACCTCATAATTTCCATGTCAATTTGTAATTAATGAGTTGATATAATGTACATGATTTATGTATTTTATAACTCGTGTTGGGAGGACGATTAGAAAACCTGGTAAACAATTCCTTTTGTGATGACAATGAATCTAATTTTTGGCCGCAAAATATATTACTGGGAGTGAATGCCATTCATGAGAAAAGCTCCAACTTGGAATAAGATTTTGATTACATAGCCATTACATGTTTCATTAAAACAGACAGGAGTATTTAACACACTGTAAATATTTTTTCATATTCAACCTTAAATGCACACTGACATGAACATAACATGGAAATTTTATCCAATATTCTCACTATGATATAACAAGTGAATGCTGAAAAACTTGTACTAGAACATTTAAGAGTATGTACTGAATAATATTTTATAATGGTGTAGCAGTTTCCATAAATCAAGTAAGACACTACCTACCTTGAAGCTACCTAAATGCAACTGTATGTTAAAAGTATGAAGGCTTCTAATACAGGTTATACAGAAAGAGAATTAAAAAAAAAAAAAAAAGATAATTAAGAACATACAGTATAAAAATTTGGAAAAACACTAAATTATTCTTCAATGATGCTCCATTGTGAATGTGGTAGGGGAAAAATTAAAATAATGAATAATGTTCTCATTGCCATAGTAGTAGTGTTGTTTTCGTAGTTTACCAAGACCTTGATCTGCTTGAGTATCAGTACTATATATGAAAATAGCACTCGTGAAGAACTTACGTAAAGGCCAATTTACAACTTCATTGGCTCGTAGTATATTAATATATTTGTATAGAATTAGTATTACTGTACTAACAATGATTCTTACTCATATTACATTAAGATCAGTTGGACGTGGTCTCTCATGAAACTATTGGAGGATGGCCTTTTTTAATCTTTCCTTTATTTTCACATTACAGCCTCTCCTCACTTAACGATGGAGTTCCGTTCCTAAGACCACGTTGGTACACAAATTTGTCACAAAGTAAAGAGCTTATTTTAATGGTAGTGGGGTTGTGTCAACCATCTTTGATATTGTTTTAATGTCACCTTTGCACCATTTGTAACATTTCTGGTATACTATTTTTAAATGTTTGTACACTAGTTTACTGTATATTGTAATAAACACAATAGAGGAAATCAACTCTAATATACTACATTATTTAGGTATGTGCACTGGTCAGATCAGAAAGCCCATCATAAGTCCGAGTCATAGGTAAACAAGTACGTCGCTAAGTGAGGAGAGACTGTATTATCTGTGTAATCTCACACTTTATTAGCTGTATTCATACTTCTTTCCTATTGTTTTGTACTTGCCTTATTTACAATCCCTCTTTTCTTTCCATTATATTTTTAAGAGCAAGAAAGTGGTAGCTGCTTGTCTTACTTATGACTTGACCAATATACACATTTTGAACAAATGATGTAAACATTATTGTCTACAAAATGACACATGTATATACAATGCCAGTAAGTCTTCTGCATGCACCACCCGGCTTTTAATAAAGGAAAAGATGACTCAACATGCTAAAAGACACAAGTCTTCTCATGCAATAACAGTGTGATGGTTTTGCAAGTAACACTTAGTATTAAATTAGTCCTCCCAACACAATTATTTCTAGGAAATAGATAATAATGTTTGGCTATGGATTCTTGTGCTTGTCATATAGAGAAGTTCCTATAATACTAGATAAATTTATGTACAGCACAGTATTAAGATGGTAATCGTATACAGTATTGTATATACATAGTTCATTAGTTGATGCAAATTAATTTCTGTAAATACTTTATTATGTCCTTTACCATCAATTTAATTTCCTAGAAATATACTTAATTTTAAGATTTCTTTAATGGCCAGAGACAGATATACATATTTGCACTAGTAACTGTAGTATTATAGAAAAGTCTGTGCATAACTTCTGTGGAAGAAGCTCAAGTTACTTAAAATCATGTGTATTTCTGTTTTCCTGACCAGTTTTGAGAACATTACTTCATTTGAGATTTTCACAGAACGCCGAGCTGTGTGCATCAGCAACGTACAGTAGTGGCCTTCGAGGTTACTCGTCCTACTCTCCCCACCTTCGTCGCTCACTGCCCAACATGCATCATATGTCCTCTGAACCCCCTAAGATTTATCCTGCACATCTCTTATTAGTAACTAACTACCGCCTGCCCAATGATGTGGATCGCTGCCATTTGGAGGTTGGTACTCACTTCCACACTATGTGTTTTTAAATCTTTAAAACAAGAGTAAAAAATTTTGTCTTATATTATGTAACTTTGTCTAAAATATATGCTCATCATTTATTTAATCTTAATTTTCCATATGTAGTATTACAATGAAACTTATATCTTACCCAGTATTAATCACCAACCATTACTATCCAGTTTCTCATATTTTTGGCAGTTATGGTTAACAGTAAGTGTAGGGGTTATACGATTATGACAATATTTTGCTAAACTTTTTTGTTTTATTAAAAAGCATAATTGATGGAAAAACTATAAAAGTGGGTTAAGCAGAAGTGGGGGGCTTCTCACTATTTCTTTTGAACACACAGTTGCTAACTCAATAGTGCAAGTGCAAGGTTGCCAGCTCAGTCCTGGAATATGTTACTCTCACAATGTGATGACATTATCTTTCAGAAATTCAGTATTAATAATTAACAGTTGCGCTGTATAACCCTTGTGGCTTAGCGCTTCTTTTTGATGATAATAATAATAATAATAATTAACAGTAATTGGAGATTCACTTTCCTTTGTATTTTAGCAGTTATTATCAGATTTAAACATTTTTAATTTTAAATATAATTATTATTGTTCAATATAAGAAGTAAATTTTGTATGATTCTGTGTTCTCTCATTTTTCATAAGAACATAAGAAAGAAAGAACACTGCAACAGGCCTACTGACCCATGCGGAGCAGGTCCATATCCCCCCCCATATTAGACCAATGATCCTCCCCCGGATTAGCCCAATGACCCACCCAGACTGGTCATCTCCACTCAAGGATGGAGCACTGCACCAGACCCAGCAGCACAAGCTAGTCAGGTCCATCCACACCCACTCATGTATTTATCTAACCTATTTTTAAAACTACACAACGTTTTAGCCCGAATAACTGTATATCTACTCTCTGAGCCCGGCCATGGACCAGGCTCGTCTAGTGCTCACCTGGTCAACCAGGCTGTTGCTACTGGAGGCCCGCTGCCCCACATATCCATCACAGCCTGGTTGATCTGGCACCTGGTGAAGATACTTGTCTAGTTTCCTCTTGAAGGCTTCAACACTTGTTCCAGCAGTGTTTCTGATATCTTCTGGTAAGATGTTGAAAAGTCTGGGACCCCGGATGTTGATACAGTGTTCCCTTATTGTCCCCACCACACCTCTGCTCCTCACTGGGTTTATTTTACACTTCCATATCTCTCACTCCAGTATGTTATGGCAGTGTGCAGATTTGGGACCAAGCCCTCGAGTACCTTCCAGGTATATATTATCATGTACCTCTCTCTCCTCCTCTCCAATGAGTACATGTTCAAGACTTGCAGGCGTTCCCAGTAGTTTAGGTGCTTTACTGGCTCAATGTGAGCCGTAAACGATATCTGTATTTGTTCCAGCTCCGATATTTCTCCTGCCCTGAATGGGGCCATCAGCACTGAGCAATATTCTAAGTGAGGGAGCACTATACTTTGGGTTTTGTTTTCCTCAACAAAAACCCACTGATTTTCGTATGATCTCTTGAATAACCTGAGTAAACAGGCATAACCATATTTGTAAAGTGAATTTATAGAAGATGCCTTTGTTCATTATAATGTTCTTTTAAATGGATTATATCTCATGTTTAGGAAAGTAATCTTTGAGAAACAAAATTATGTTTTAGTCTAAAGTCTTTGGCAATTAAAATATCGACAGTATTGAAAACAAGTTGCTGTATCTAATAGGGCCTTTCTGAAAATGTAATCAAATCACAAGTTTGACTTCAGTTCATAGAGTTTATCAGTTCTAATATTTTTCTGAAATCATGTACAGTATAGTTCTTTCCTTTTTTTTTCAGCGTCACCTATCTGATACCGATTTTGAAATGGTGTTCCACATGACTCGAATGGACTTCTATCGCCTTCCAGAATGGAGGAGAAATGATTTAAAGAGGCGATCCAAGCTTTTTTAAAATATTTTTAGGTATTTCATTTATTTATGGAAAATTCAGTTACCCACATGAACTATCAGCTTACTAATTTATATAAATTGTTTCAAAGGTTGCAAACAATGATCCTTTTAACACTGGATTACTAATTGGGTCTTGAGGGAACTGTTTTTAATTTGTATTAACTGCAAGCAGGATACTTAATGTGGATATCTAAAATTTTGCAAGCAAACTTTGGAATCCATCATCCCTCTATAATGTACACGTGACAGCCATTTAATTCCATCCTAATTATCAGTTTTGGGAACTGCAGCATTTATTCAGAATCAATTTCTGTGAAATTCTCCAGATCAAAGTTGAGAATGATCTAAAAGGTGCTTTGATCAATTCCATATAACATATTTGTAGTGGATATATGTATAGTGTTTTATAACATTAATAGGATCTTCAATTAGGTTGAAATTAATAGCAATTTTTGTACACACCACTAGCTAAATTTTGTCCAGATAGGTTCATAAAGTATTAGAGATATTTATCAAGATATTTTTTAAGCAATATTTTAAATATTGATAGCTTTTGTTGGGTCAAAATGTAGAGGTGAATGGGTGCATTTAGTTACAGTATGTATGGACTGATCGATACATGGTTGTTTGCCCACATTACAGTGCTTGTTACTTCAAGTTTCACATCTTCTAGTCTTTTTTTTTTTTCTCCATTGGATCCAAAATATTAGTGGATCTTAGAAGTTATATGTTAATATCTCCCTATTGCTTGTTTTTGGTGCTTATGTTGGGCAGTGATCTTTCATACCAAAAGTCATCAAGGACTCAGCTTTTAAAAACTGTTAAACCATCTTTTCTGTTAGTGTAAATATGAAAAAGATTGAAATTCTTCAAGCTTAACATGCCTGATTTTTTTTCACGTCGATAAAAAACCTTAAAATTCATAAAGATCTGCAAAATATGTAATAAATGGAACATGTAAATTACAAGTTGTAACCTGTTTGTAAATAGTGCCTCGTAGAGCTTCACATGTGGTGCGATGAGTGGTTGTGATCCTAGTTGGGATTCCTAGAGTCCTACCTCAGGGTGTGCTAGGAAGGCTTTGCTAGCTATATTATGTTACACAAAAAATGCTTTGTTAATTTGGGTCAAGTTTTTGGTCACGATGTTCAATTAGAGAACTTTAGGCTATCAAGGTGTTTCTTAATTCTTTCTTTTATATTAGCAAAGCTTCTCCTAAATTTGGTTACAGTGCAGAACTTTACTTTGTGTTCCTTCAAAAACAAAAAACAAAAAAAGAAAGATATTAGTGTCTTATCAGTTATACTGCAGTTACATCACTCCAGTCTGTGGTGCATAAGCCACATGCTGGACTAATGCCTGAGGTTGGGGAGGGATGGGAGATCATGTAGTCTGTTATTACAACTATATGTTATTGCAGCAGCTAAATTAATGGTTGTCCTGACTGCCATGCTCCTTCTTAAAGACATATATTTTATATTTTAGCTTTTTAGCAAATTTAGTATTAGTATTAATGGCCAGAATGAGTTGTGAGGTTGTAAAGATATACCAGCCAGTAAGTATAGTTTGATCAGTTTCTGTATCTGTATTGAAACTGATCTTCATTTTAATCTTGCTGACAGCATGAAAATCTTAGAGAATTAAGGTTGGAGTATCACAGAGGAGCCTTAATGTACTTTTGCCATAGAAACGTAAGACATATAACACTGTGCCTATTTTTTCCATTTACGAAAATTTATTTTGTGGTGCTGTATCTTATCCCTATTATAAAAAATTATGCTGTTATTGATTTATTCAACTAATATACATTTCATTTATTATGAATTCAGTGAATTTTAACCCTCCATCCAAAAAACCAATGATATATTTATTAAAATTTTAATTTTATGGTCAATTTGTGAATTTAAAACAAATTATTACATTCTGCAGGTCAGTATATCCAAAAAATCCTTATCTAATTTACATCCATGATAATGGCTATAATATGGATTTTAGTTGAAGTTTTAAAGCTTCATATGTTTAAAATCAATTTATATATTCTCTCCTTATAGGCTTGATCTGATTTTTACTACTGTATGTCAAGCAGGTCTTCATAAAATATATAGAATTATTTGTACAGAACATGTAAATACATTTATTACTTTTAATACTACTGTATATGTACATTTTCCTATCTACAGTGTTTAAGATAATGTAATAGGCACTTGTTGTAATAATAATAATGTATATGTCAATTGTGTATTTCACTTATTTTATTTTCTGTATCTGCAAACCAATTTTCAGCTTCATATGTTGATTTATTGCATATACATTATATATATTCTTTTACTCATTGTTCTTATTTAGTACATCTGTTTATTCTTATTTTTTTACAAACACCATATTTATTTGCCCCTTTTTAAACAGAAACTGATGAAAATGCATACAACTGCAGCACACTTTTATACATATAATTTATATTTTAACAAGTCAGCCGTCTCCCACCAAAGCAGGGTGACCCAAAAAGAAAGAAAATACTTTCATCATCATTCAACACTTTCACCTCACTCACACATACTATAATTTTGATTAATATATGGCTTTTAATGAAACAAATTTGCCAGAATAAGTGCACTATATTCCTATTGAATATTATTTATCAATGAGAAAAGATTACACACAAATAGCAAAAAATGTTCTCAAGTATAAAAATGCTGTTGCCCCGTTGTTAAGTTTCATTTTGTTAGAAATATTATTCATCTAAGACATCTTATTACGTACTACCAAACAGTATCCTACTACAGAGCAGGCCTTCATTAATCCTTGACACTTTAGTGTTATTGACATTGAATTTTTATTTAGTATTTAACATCTCTTAAGACTGCACAGAATGCTTTTCAGTGCAATTACAAGTTTCCTGAACACAATGTTTGTGGTTTGTCAGTTTAACCCTTGTGGACAATGTTCATTGGGAGGTTATTCCAAATAGGTAAAAACTATTCAGCAGTGACATAAGAATAAAATTGCACTCGAAAGGCTCATTCTATTTTATAAGAGAATTAGCCTTATTGCAGTTTTATTAAACTCATGACAGGTAATCTCATTATCAAGAGTTTTATTAATTGTTTTATTCTCCGTGCCAAAAGTAGGAATTCCTCAGCTGTGAACAATATTCACAAAATTTTGCATGTTTGTAGCTTGCTTTCCCTCCTTTAATGAATCACTTAACATAAGGACAGCTGTTAATAGTACTACATTATTAACATGGGCAAAGCAAGAGTGATGGTACAATGTGGCATGCTCAGGTATTTTACTTTGTAGACCATTTGGCCATATTCATCCCACATTGAGGTACTACTGTACCATAATTGACACTGAAATAGACTGAAATAATCTGTCTACAGGTCACTCTGTGCTGAGTATTCCATATGTGTTAAGCAATTTTTGTGAATGTTACAACTTGCTATTTAATGAACAGCATTTCTTTATGGTTTGCCTTATATTTTAAATTTCACATTATCCTTTTAAAATACTGAGTTTATATCTCTTCTTTATTCTTTTGCCTTACTTATACAAGCTAAGCTGTCATCCTTTCCATACATTTTTATTTGCTAGTTCCAGTGGTAACTTCTTCAACTTTACTATAGCCAGCTTAAATGCTGTGGAATGATTGATTTGAGCAATTAAGATTTCTGACATTGCAAAACATTGGACTGTAAGAGAGAGAGAGAGAGAGAATATGACTATTGAATACATAAAAAATATTTAATCCATGACATTTCAGCTTCTGAGAAGTAATAATACTGTAATCAACAGGCAAGATGTAAAATGCCTGTGAATGCCACATAAGGGTACACAAATGAGTATCATACTGCCAACCTTAATGCCACACTTTTGGCTCCCAGGTATAGTAACTTTATTATTTCCCTCCTTGGTTAGTAATGCAAGTTTATGAAGACCCGTATGACAGGGTAATGGTGAATAATGTTTCAAGATGTAAATAAGACCTGTAATTTCTTAAGAATTTGTACATTTTAAACAGTATCCAAATTTCACTCTTCATTCACTTATTTTTATGGCAATATTGTCCGTCATGTATATTCAGTACTCTTTTTTCACCGTCCTATATAACACTATCAATCACATTGTGTTTTTATTAAATATGTAATCATTTGTTAATTTTTTTTTAATCTGGCTGTTATATCATTTACCCTTTCATGGTGAAGTGAGAAATGTAAAAATATTACAATTATCCTAATGTTAGACAGCAGATTTGGTAAAATATTTAGGCATTATTTACATTCTCCACTGTTTATATTCATGTGTATGAGGCCATAGAAAAGGAATTGTTGGGTTCCTGTTCCACGACCAAAATGTGTGGAAACAACCTTTAAAAGTTTTCCTTTTGTGAAAAATATCTGTTGACTGACCAAATAACTGTGTTCCTTATTTGTCAAGAAAAATATTTGATGTATTACTACATGGACAAAATTTCCTTTAAATGTATCTAGCAAATCAAATAATAGAAAATTAATTTTAAAAGTATATTTTTTCTCCTACCTACCAACTTTTTATTGTTAGTATTGTATTTTGGTAGTGCTATAATTATGATTTTTGAAGAATGGCAACCCAGTGTTTAAACTTTTTCTTAAGAAAAACATTGAGACATCCAGAATATAATTGTAACTCATGATCAGGACTATCGTCAGTTTCTCTCATAATTCAATGTCATTATCTTGAAACATGTTACCTCTTAAACTGCATAAATCAAACAATAGCTTTTGCCTTTGATATATTACAGTTGGGGGGAGGGGGGTACAAATCTTCATGTATTCCTCAAATGTTTCCTATGTAAAGCAACACAATATCCTTATTTTTATTAATTATATAAATATTTTTTGTGCTGAGCTTGTTTTACAAAATTGTTTTGTGGTAAGGATTTGGACCAATTATTTTTTACTTTTCCACTTAACACAAACTGCCCTATAACCATTATGAACCTTAATATTTCCACACAGTAATTTGTAATTTAATTAAAATATATGCTGTGTATGACCATTGGCCCTAATGCTTCCCACTAAATGTTAATCAACATTGGCCCAGATGCTTCCCACAACAAATTAAGGACCATATGTTAAGCAAAGGTACAAGCCAATCCTATTTTTTACTTGTACTTGTGAGACATGCATCTTCATATGCTTACAGTAACTGCTTGGGTTGCTATAGTCTGTAGGAACATATGGATAACCAATAATTGACTTTGCTTGAGCTTGTGTTTTATTCACCTTATCTTGAATTAAATTACACTTCACAAAGGCTTTCCAGTTGATTCATTTTACAGACTTTTGAAAGTATTCAGCAGAGTGCCATACGAAAGACTGGGTTTGATCAATACCAAAATTCTGGAAAGGACTGAGCAATAGTGACTGGACTAGCATTTTGAGGGGTACCACAGGAATTTATTCTTGGACCAACCATGTAGTAAATAAAGTGCATGTTAATGAAAAGCTAAAAACACTTTAACAACAGTCAAATTTGCAGACAATACTAGGACTGATGGGAAGAAAAACAATGAAGAGGGCAGTGGTTCCATGGAAAATAACCTACATTAACTTTTTATCAGTAGACTGGCAAATGTGACGTAAACGGGATACAGTGTAATGTTACACGTTTAAAAAGAAAGTAAAATAGTCCACTGGTCATTAAATCTGGCACAAAAAGAGGGTGCAGCCAATAAAATTAGGCAACTAAAATCTAAGAATAACGATGTTCAAACATACCTTTGCATATGACCCCCTCTTCAAGGGGGGCTCCTTGTTGTGGTGAAGAGGCTCTTGGTCCGAGGAATTAGACCTGTCGGTCTCCTTCCTCAACCGAACCTAATTACCCCCCAATCCCCCCTTCCCTATCCCATCCTCCCCTTTTTCCTTTCCTCCTCCTCCTCCCCCCCACCCCTCCCTTTTGCCCTTCCTCTTTTTGGCCTTTGGGATTTTTCCCACAGGCACGCTAGTTCCTAGGTAGGGGAAAGGATACCGGGGTCCATCCCATTCCGTTGAGGTTCTTGGCGGTGGCGTAGTTTGCCGTGGAATCTGGATCGCCTGGGGATGTCCTGATCCCTCTCCGGTATCCCGGAGTGTAGCTTTGGGTGTCTTTTGGGCGACAGGTGTATCTCTGGAAGCCTCCTTTCGGATTCCGGGGGTGGTGGCCGAAGGAGGTATGCTTTGTGGCGGATATCCGGCCGCCCTCTCTTTTGTCCACCGAGGTAGCTCGGCAGATGTGAGGTTGCTATCCCGGATTGCTGGTTTACTGGCATGAAGGGTAGGGTATGGCACAGGTTCCATGCTGCATCTGCGCTACTAGCGGTGCTGAGGTCCTCTTGGGCGTGGAGGGAGATTTCCGGCCCTTTCATTCCTCCTGGGAACTATTCCTCCCCGCTCCCCCCTTTTTTTATTTTTATTTTCTTTTCTTTCTTTTTTTTTCTTAAAAACAAAAAGCAAAGGAGTAACCTAACCATGGAGAACCCAATCCATGAACCCACTACCCCCGGGCCCCTTCTTGATACCGCACCCCATTCTGACCCTGCCTTGTTTTTAGACCACTCTTCGGACACTCCTAATGCCCCTGTACCTCTTGCTGGTGCTGTTTCCTCACCCGCTTCAGGTACCGGGGCTACGACTGACTCCTTCAATTTGTCTGACCTCCGCTCTCCTTTGACTATGCTTCCGGCCTCTCCCTCTACGGTACGGCAATTTTCGAATCACCAGCCCGTTTCACGACGGACCAACTCCGGTCCTACTCCTAAACGCCAACGTCAATCTCCTGATGATGTTCCTTCGTTACCTTCCCATTCTACTCAGAAACGACCGACACGTCATGCACTCCCTCTCCACACTCAGTTTCGGACCACACAATGAACTAAATTCTTTACTTTAAGACCGACTTCTTCTTCTGCCCATCTTTCTGACCATAGTATTGGCAAAGCGCTCCTGCGTCATGTTGGTAGAGATATTTCATTTCATGCTCTCAAGAGCGGTACGCGCATTGTCACTGTCCAGAATTCTACCCAAGCTCATGATCTTTCTCTCGCATATCGATACTACTCCTATCACTATTGAAAAACATCTTTCTCTCAATTCTTGTAGTGGTACTGTCATTCTGCCCCATACCATAGTCCAACAGAATTTCCAGTCATGTGGCAATGACATTCTTGAACAGCTGGAACTCCAGGATCTCCCAATCCTCAAAGTAGACACTTACGTCCTTCCTGCCCGCGGGCGGAGACGTTACCCTTGCAATGTGGCTCGCTTAACTTTCGACAGCCGTGAACTCCCGTCCTCTGTTTATGTCGCGGGACATCAGTTACAAGTTCGAAAGGTGGTCCCTACACCGCAACAGTGTAGAAATTGCTGGCGTTTTGGTCACCCAGCAAAATATTGCAGATCTATAGCCGAATGCCCAGTCTGTGGTGCCGACGACCATTCTAATGCATCTTGCAGTCAACCTCCATCTTGCCTTAATTGTAATGAGGCTCACCCTTCGTACTCTCACCGTTGCCAGGTCTACTTGAATGAGCGTGAAATCCGTTGCCTCAAAGAGGCAGAAGGTCTCCCTTATGCTATGGCAGTTACTCATCTCCGCCTCCAAGGAAGACTACCCCGTGTTCTTATTCTCGTGTTTCAAAACGTCCCCCCACTTCTGGGTCCCATCTTCTGCAGCCTCCTCTGTTGTTGCCCCTCCCATAGCCACCTCCGGCATCTAATCCTTTTGCTGTCCTTGGCCTCACGTCCCGACTACAACTCAGTCTGTTCTCACATCTCGCGTCCTTCCTCACAAGCCCCAGTATCGACAAGACCCGTACAACACCTTATAACCAATCGCCCCTCTACTTCTCAGAAGTCCAAAAAATCCCCAGTGCTCAAATCTTCTTTGCCCCTTCCTTCCCTTCTTCCACCTCCGCACTTACCTTTCCAGTCTCTGTGTCTAGTTCTTCCCCTCTCTCTGGCTCTATTACAAGTGTGGAGGTTCACCCTCCTCCTCGTACTATACCTTCCACCCCCGTCCCCTCCCAAGTTTCCCCCCTCTTCTGCCATCTCTCAGGTTTCTGCCTCTTCTGTCCCCTCCCACACTACTTCTACAGTTCCCTACACTCTTTCGTCCCCCTCTACTTTGGTACAGTCCATTACTGTCCCAATCTTTACTCACCCTCCTCCTTCTACCTCCAATATTGTCCCCATACATCTTTGAATTCAGAAACACTTGAAGCCATTTCAGAATATATTGCAGAGACTAAACCTTCAATGGACACTGATCCACCACCTACTCCCTCTCTTCCCTCTCCTCCATCTCCACAATTCCATTCTTCACAGCGCTCCGTCCTTCGCTACTTGAACGTCTTCCAATGCCACCACACGTTGACTTTTCTAACCCCTCTAGTCTGTAGGTGCCCTTCCCTACGGATTCCTGGTATTTTCTTTATTGCCCAGGCCTATTTCCCTTGGATACCGCCCCCTCGGGGGTAATCGGGGTGAGCTTCAATTTGCTTTCCGGGTTTTTCCCCTTTTGGGTGCTTGCTTACAAAAAACCCAAAAAATTAAACACTCACTGTTTTCCACCTATCTCGGGCTAAAATTTTATTGTTTTTTCTTTGGGGAACCTTTCTCAGAGGGGCCCTTTAAATTAAAAGGGCCCTTCTTCTACGCAATGAATTCCGTACTGTCAACTTTTTTGTCCAAACCTCCTGCATTCACTGCGGGCCCCGTATCCACTTGACTAATGGGTTTACAAAATTTCTTTAATCTCTCCCCTTTCCCCGAGCATTTTCCCCAAACCCCAGATTTTGGGCCTTTTTTCCTATTTTTCATCCTTACCACCACCACTTCTGTTACTTGGTGTTTTTAATGCCAACCTTTTCCCTCTGGGGGGGGTCCCCATTGTGACTCACGGGGCATCCAACTGGGGCTTTTTTTTTTGCCTCCACCCCCCCCCCAAATGTTTTAAATCAGGTATTTCCCACCCTTTTTTTACCCCTCGTACCAAAACTTTTCCTTTTGGGCACCCGATCTTCATCTGCTCTTCCCCCACGGGCACTAGACTTAAACCTGGTCTTTTTCAAACCGGGACTTATATGAAGGGGATCATTTTCCAATCATTCTTACTTTTTTCCCTTCCTTTTCACCACCTTTCCGTAGCCCTCGCTGGAAATTTTGATGGGGAAAATTTGGGGACCCTTTCCCCTCAAAACTAAACTGCTTTTAGTGGGGTTTTCCTTTTTCACCCCTCCATTATAGCCCCTAAAACCCTTTTCCCTCAAACGTCATTTAACCGCACTTCCCCATTCTATCCCCAACAAACCCTCAGGAAAGGATTCCAGAAGTGCGTCCCCTTGGTGGTCTCCTCTTGTGCTCGTGCAGAAAACTTTTTAAAATTTGCGCTGCATGGGGCAGGTACGGGTACAATAGAACCGCTGAGAGACTTCTTTTTTAAACAAAAAAGCGTCCCGATCCCCTCGCCGTTTTCATCCGTGAAGCTAAACGCACTTGCTGGCGAGACTATTTTTTCCAAACCACCCACCTCTCTTTTTTCTATGAGTGCAGTTTTGGAAAAAAATTAGGGAAAATTTAATAGTAAATACTCTCCTGACCCGGCTCCCGTTTTACGGGGGCGCTGGGTTTTAAGTAGCAAACCCTCTCGACGTTTCCATTTAAAATTTGGGACCCATCTGGTCCGTATTTCCCGGGGCTCCATCTAGGCCCCCCGTTTCTTTCCTCAAAAATCTGCCAAGGGGTTAAATACCCTTTGGGCTTTTTTTCTCTCAGGGGGAAGAAAAGTATAAGTGGCCTTTTTTTCACTTCCCCGAACTGGAAAGGAATGCTCTCAGGCTTGCCCATCATCGGCAGCTGGGGCCCGACGAAAATTTATTTGAAAGTTACAACATTTTCTTCAGTCAGCCCTTGTAGTTTTCCCCTTTCACCTCTTTTAATCTTATTTGGGCACAAGGGGTTCTTCCCCCGCTGGGGAAATCTGCCATTGTTCTCCCCTTTCCCCCAAACCGGGTACAAAAGGACATGATGCCTCCCACAAAACCGGGCCCATTTTACTCTTTTCTAGTGCAGTTTTCAAAGTGATGGAAAGGGGGCCCCGTAAATCGGAAATTTTAAAGTGGTATTTTGAGACACACAACAGTTCCCCCTCCCTAATCAATATGGCTTTCGTAAGGGGCCTTCTACCCTAACCCCTTAATAAGCTTTGGGTACATTGTTCGTTAAAAGCCTTTGCCCAATAATTTAAATCAGTTTTTTGCCATATTTTTTGAAACCCTTTAGAAGGGATATGACACAACTTGAGGTAAATATTTTTTGGGCCCCGGCCCCCTCCTTTTGACCTCCGAGGCAATTTACCATCCTTTTTCCTTTAAAAATTTTTAAAAAAGACAGACATTTCCCCTGTTCGAGCAATAATGTTTTCCCCTTTCCCCCGGGCTTTTGTCCAAGCTGAAGGGGTCCCCCAGGGATGGTTTTTTTAAGCAAAAACACTTTTTCTCCTCGTTACAAATGATTTTTTCCTCGTTCTTCTACCCCCAATTTTTGGGCTCATCATAATGTTGAGACTTTGCTATTGCTTTTTCAGGGGCCCGAAATTTATCTAAATTTGGGAGTTTCTCCCACATGCGGCCGACCGGGTTTTCCACTTGGGGCCCCCACACATGGGTTTTAAATTTTCCCCGTACCAAAACTCACCAATTACTTTCCAACGCTCTGTCAAACTTCCCATCATCCTTTGTATCCCCCTATGGCCCCCGTACCCCGAACGTGAACAGTCAGATTTCTAGGGCCTTTTTTTGACCGTAGGTTATCCTGGAAACCTCACATTACCTCTCTGAAAAGGGAACTTGTCACAGCCAGCTAAACCCCTTCCCTTTAAAACCCCTTTCTCATCTTTTCCCGGGGAAGGGGGATCATTGAACTCGCTTCGCCTACCCTTTAGCCCTCCCTTTTATCAAAACTCGATTATGGTGACCAGATTTATTCCGCGGCCTCTCCTGCTACTCTCTCTAGCCTTAACTGTATCCATCACCAAGGATTACGTTTGTGCCTTGGTCCCTTTTCGCTCTTCCCCCTGTTGAGAGCCTCTATGCAGAAGCGAAATGTTCCATCCTTGTCTGATCGCCGTGATGCCCATTGCCTTCGCTACTATGGACGCTCTCAAAATCTCCACAATCCTTCCATTTATAGAATGGCACCATATTAGTAGACATTCTTTATTCGTTCACCGCCCCTGTTTGCTCCGTCCCTTTTCTCTTCGCCTACATTCGCTCTTTTCTTCCCTTTAGTTACCACCTTTATATGTTCATGTAGCATCTCACTTTTTTCCCCACCCCCCTGGGAAGTCCAGCTGTTCGGGTCTGATCTTTCTCACTTCCCTTGCTCGAAAGCTCAACGCCTACGGTGGCTTCCCGCTCTCTTTTTCTTGATCACTTCCACTCCCCCTTCTCATGCCATCGCTGTGTACACAGATGGCTCTAAGTCTTCAGACAGCGTCGGATTCGCAGCAATGTTTCCGGACAGCGTCGTGCGGGGGCATTTACTATCTTCGGCTAGCATTTTTACTGCTGAATTGTATGCCATTCTTGCAGCACTTATTCGTATCGCATCTATGCCTGTGTCACCATTTGTGGTAGTCTCAGACTCCCTTAGTGCTCTACAGGCTATACGAAAATTTGATACATCTCACCCCCTAGTTCTCCGTATCCAACTTTGGCTACGCCGTATCTCTACCAAGCATAAAGATATTATTTTTTGTTGGGTCCCTGGTCATGTCGACGTACAGGGCAATGAACAGGCAGACACTGCTGCGCGGTCAGCAGTACATGACCTACCAATTTCCTATAGAGGTGTTCCATTTCTGGACTATTTTGCTGCAATAGCTACCCACCTTCACACCTGTTGGCAACAACGTTGGTCAACTCTGCTTGGTAACAAACTTCATTCTATTAAACCGAGCATAGGTTACTGGCCGTCTTCTTGTCATCAGTGCCGTGGTTGGGAGACCACTCTCTCCCGCCTTCGCATTGGCCACACTCGTCTTACTCACGGGTATCTCATGGAGAGGCACCCTGTTCCTCTCTGTGAGCAGTGTCAAGTTCCAGTATCGATTAGCCACATTCTGTTAGACTGCCCTCTCTATCAACGAGCACGCAGAATTTACCTCCAACGCCGTCTTCGTTCTACTACTCTCTCTTTACCTTCCCTTCTTGCTGATGGACCCTCCTTTAATCCTGACTCTCTCATTGACTTCTTGACAACGACTGATTTACTCCACAAACTCTGATGATGATACCTTACGCACTCCCCTCAGCCCTTTCTACCTCAGTCTCCTGCTGCCCTTTACCCTTTCACCATCCACTGCCCCGCTGTTATCCGTAACCTATTACTCATCCACCTCCCTTTTGCCACCTTCCTGCCCTGCAGCGCTGTAATAGCCCTTGTGGCTTAGCGCTTCTTTTTGATTATAATAATAATAATAATGCATATGACCCGTATGGGTTTAGTGCATGTTTCTTAAAATGAAAATAAACATACCTTTCAATGCCATCTAACTACAAATCTGTGTTCCCATACCGATCACTACATTTTAACCCAGAGATGACACTAAATCACATGAAAAGTTTAGCATGGCAATAAAAAATCCCAGAAATGTTTGCTCACTTACTAGGTTGAGCTGAAGGCTGTAACCAAATTTCACGAGTAGAATTTTACCAGCGACGAGGAGCCTTATAAGGTAAGGCGTTATTTTCTTGTGCATTTATAAAGCTCTAGCACTGGTTATTCAGCAATTTTTGTTGACAACTCTGCTCTGGAACACCTAAAAGGTTAAATTGGCTAAATTCAATATGCCGTAATATAATCTAATTTTATTATTCAGTAAATTCAAAAATAAGAACTAAACCATACAGCAATATAATCTAATATAAAGGTATAAATTATATGTTAGGGTAAGGCATTTCTGATTTCCTGTTGAAGTTATTTCATTTTTCATTTACCTATTCAAATGTTTATAGAATAGTATCTATTACTTACCCTTCATGTGTATATTGGTCAGCTCAGAACCCCATTGGACACATTTTTATAGTTGAGTACATAATCGGACATTCTTGCCCAAAAAGTTGACTGTATACAGAAGGCAAACCTTGGTTTATGTTTAATCCTATTATTTGCATAAGGGTCACTAGGGCTGCATATCACATATTCACCACCAGTCAATAATACTTTAATTCATCAAGTTTAAAGTAAGCTTTAAGCATACTATATATACAGTACACATTTGTAGATGAATACAGTACACATACACACCTCTTGGTGCATATACTGTACAGTCACCTGTTTGCAAATTGTTAAACATACTGTAGATAGTGTGAGTGAATGTGAATGAATGAATGAGCATGTATGTATGTATGTGTATGTATGTGTGTGTATGTGTGTGTATGTGTGTGTATGTGTGTGTGTGTGTGTGTGTGTGTGTGTGTGTGTGTGTGTGTGTGTGTGTGTGTGTGTGTGTGTGTGTGTGTGTGTGTGTGTGTGTGTTTTACTCACCTATACTATAGTGTGGTTGCAGAGGTTGAGTCATAGCTCATGGCCCCCACCTTACAACTTGTTACTTGCCGGCTCTTTGCCTCATGGGCCATATCATACCTGCTTTTAAAACTATGTATGGAGCATGCCCCCACCACTTCCACTATGAGACTGAAGAAATTTCCTGACATTCCTGTGGCTCATTTGTGTCTAACTTCAAGCTGTGTTCCCGAGTACCAGTCCCTCACCTCTCAAACATCCTGTCCATCTACCCCATCGAATCCTGAGTATTTTGTATGTTATATTTCCCTTGGTTCTTCTGTTCTCAATGTCATTAAATTCAGTTCCATTAGAACCATGAGGGGAGCCTCATAGTTCATGCCCTCATCTCAAGAACAGTCCTCGTTGTATACTTCTGTACTTTCTTGAGTTTTTGAACCTACTTTTTCAGACGTGGATTCCATACTGGTGCTAGATTCCGGCTAATCATAAGAAACTTCCAAGGTAGCAAGGTTTATGTAGAGGCATCATCTTACAGATGTCAATGCTCCAAAACAAGTGTATTGAACAAATATCACTGAAACTTTGTTTTCCTGTTTCTATCTATACTGGTATGTGTATGGTTTTTGACTGTGTGAGACAGTAACTACTTTGCTTTATGTATAGTACTATTCTGCAGTACAATAAATCTTACAGTAGTATTCACTGTGACTTCTAGGAATGCATCTATCACATACGGGCTAATTATACCATGTTATACTTATTTTGGCCTTCATAAAATGATAATTCCCGCTGGTTTTCAGAAACACATTCCCCCAACGACTGAATGTTAGGGATGAGAGAGATGCAAATGACATATATACTCATATTTCTATACCAAATTACATATAATACATTCAATCATAATTTTAATACAAAAAAAAATTCACATTAGCATACATGCTGACACAAGGTAGAAATATATAAAGGTTTATGTGGATGCAATTACATCATAAGAACAACTGTTATTATGATATACAGTAATTAAATGTGGCAACAACTATAACTCAATCTATAACTCAAAGAATACAAAAGCTTGGTACACCATAAAGTGCCCTAAAAGCTTTATCAGTACTGCATAGGAATTTTAATTAATTACATAGTTATTTATTTCTCAGTGTATTTGAACTAATTCTTGCTTAAGGGGGTTCAAACTGCAGAAAACTTTGAATAAGAGAAATTTTCTTTCCTCGTTCAAAATATAAATTTGAATTAGAAAGCAACTGAAGAGTTTTTTCTCTTATTCAAAATATTTTGAAAAATAAATTCTTTAACAAATTTTTTTGGGGGAAAAACTGTTTGGAAGTCTAAATTAGAGATTTTCCAAATTATGAATTATCTCTTTGATTCGGGAAATTACTGAGATTATTGAAAACTATCATTTAGAGAAACATTTTTACATGGATGAAAATTTTTGAATTAGAGAGAGATTATCCAACTCAAGATTGGGAATTACAGTACATTATCACTAAAATTTCAAATGTTATGCATATAAGTTACACCAAATTTTTAAGTTTAAGAATTTGGGAGAAACCTAAACAAGAGAGAATTCACTGTGAACTGCGCTGTATAAATGTAATGCTAAAAGTTCAACTATGATGAAGAATACAGTTATACAAAATGTAATACAGTAGACCATTATTTAACATGGCAGTTACGTTCCTGAAAATGGCGTGTTAGGTAAAACTGTGTGAGATGAACGGAAGAATTTACGGGGAAAATAGGGTTATGTTCCTGGGAGCCCCAAAAAAGCCGAACAACTTTTTTTTAGGCCTCCATATCCATCAGAAATAAAATGAATATGGAATTGTAGTTCATTGGTGTGATGTATTATATTATTTTTACTGGTTAAGACTACACATGTAACAGAAATAATAGTATTTCTTACCTTAAATTGTGGAGAGTTATGCTGTGGCCTTACTGGGCTGAGGTGGATGGCAGAAGTTCTGGTACTGAAGTCGATGGTTGTACTGGAGTGTCTAACTAAGTCACTCAGTCAGTCAATCAAGCCAGTAAGTCATTCAGTCAGTCAAGTCATTCAGTCAAGTCAGCAAGTAATTCAGTCAAGTCATTAAGTTATTCAGTCAAGTCAGTGAGTCATTCAGTCAGTAAGTCACTCAGTCAAGTCAGCAAGTCAGTCATTCAGTAAGTCAGTCACACAAACTCATGTTTACCTCTTTTTATGTGTACAAAGTAAGACTTCATTACTGTTATCTCTTGTCTAATATCTTTGTTTCCTTCGTTAATTCTAAGACTTAAACGCTTATACCTATTCTTGCCACTTTCAGCAACGTTGGTATGCCTATTGGGTGTCATGATTGCTTGGCAGATACAAGATATAGTAATTAAAATATCAAAACAATTCACAAACACAGCTAGCTTGTAGCAGAGAGAGAGACTGGACACGTATGAAGTACGAAAGCTGGGATGGTGTCAGGGGGTGGCAGGGGATTGAGGGGTCTCCCCAGCTGATCCACTACAAGGCAGATGCTTGAGGAAAAGGGAATTTTTTTTCCTTACCACAAACTGAACCGTGTTAAATTAATTTTATGTGTTACACAAAATTGTGCCGCAATTCTTCAATCGTGCTATACCCGAATCGTGCCAAATAAACTTGTGCTAAATGACGGTCTACTGTATACATATGTCACTCAAGAGCACGCTATTCACAAATTTTCTTTTTTACCATACTAGTTGGTTCCCACTAAGGTAGGAAGACCCTTAAAAAGTTAAACACATTCAGCATCAATCATTCAGTAGTTGCCTTGCCAATCATATGCAGACATTACAATTCAAATGATCCATCAGACAGCAACATCCTCACCCCTCCTTCAGAGTGTAGGCACTGTATTTCCCACCCCCAAGACTCCAGTCTAGTTAAAAAAGTTTCCCCAGAGTCCCTTCACATGGGTTACCTTGCTCGCACTCCAACAGATGTCAGATCCTAAACACTGACTTTGTCTTCAGTCATTCCAATCTAGCACACTCATTCATGCATGTAGAAGACTCAAGCACATACTACTTGAAACCTTAATCACCCCCTCCCTCCACTCTTAGTGCTGTACAACACTGATCCTGTTAAGTCGATGTATTAGTGTCTCGAAGGCTGAAGAGATCGTCAGCTTGTTGCACAGCATCTGACAGAGCTTCACAATGCCTCTGAAGGTTTTCTGGAATTTTTGCAATCCCATAATAAGCACCTGCAAATAAAGCCATAAAGAGTATTAGTTATTATTTTTTTTATTACTGAAACTGTTTCATGTATAGTATTTGTACTGTTATTCTCATTATATTGCTGCTTCTTAATTTTTATTTATAAGGTTTGGTTGAAAATATAATTTATGGTGTCACTCTACATGTCCTGTGTTAGTTCTGAAAATAAAACTTGAGGTAAAGTAAGCATGGAAACTTTAGTATTTTTTCTAGAGTGCATAAGCCTTTTAAAAGCCTGTCCTCCAGATGAATGAAAATTAAGATGTTCAAGAACATTGCTTGAAATCATATGCTGATAAAACATTATTATACTCCATCAATATTAAATCTCCATCCTCTGCACCAATAAGACTGACAATGGTGGAAGTTTATGAAAGTACAGTAGGGCTCCGCTTTATGGCGTTCTGCTAATACGGGAATTTCAAATTATGACCAAAATTTGCTATACGGCAAGCGGCCTTTCAAATATGGTGCGCCCCACCTGGTTTGTTTACATTCTCTGTGAGCACATCTATTATGTCTGGAAATTTTCCAAAATTTCAAGTGTTTTAAAGTTACTGCGCATTTTATGTTTTTTTTTTTTTTAACAAGTTGGCCGTCTCCCACTGAGGCAGGGATAATTATACTTATATGTACCTGTACCTAAATATATTTACACACTGTGCTGGCATGCAGGTACACATTAAAATCACTAAGAGTCTCTCTACTCATGACACCACAGTAATACTATGTAATAATAATCTCTCTTGGGCACATTAAATGTCTTATTTTACAATAATATAGACATTTTCATTAATCCATCTATGATATTTTCTTCAAAATTATATAAGAAACACATTACATAGCACATAAACCTTGTACACACACCCAGAAAATAAAAATTGACATAGATATGAATTTGTTTACAAAGCAGCTTTGTAGGAGTGTCAGAAGAATTACGTTTTCTCTAGTCAAACACTGGGAGATAACTAGATAAATATTCCTTTCGTATGCCTTCACTCTATATATAGCAATTCACAAACCTTGTGGGTTTAGAGCTTCTTTTTTATTATGATTATAATAATAATTTGTAATAATAACTTGTAATAATAACAACTTGTAATAATAATAATTTTTAATAATAATAATAATTCATCAGAGCATCTAAAAATTACATAAGAATGGAAGTGTTGGTCTTTATTTATTCTACTGTACCACTGTGGAGACAACTGGTACACAATGTAAAGTGTTTGTATGAATGTTCATGAACCATAATAAGACGCTTCATCTGTTTGTTTACATAGTGGGTGGGGTGGCCAGGCTGGCTTCCCTACACTACCCTACCTACCACATGACTTTCTACAAATAAATACTTTTCAGCTTTCACCCTACATTAAGACTACAAATATTTTAAGGTAAGTAATGAATGTAGTGTACTGTACGTATATGCATTTTATCACTCTAGGGAGCTTTAAGCATTGTCATAGTATATTATGTGTGGGGGAGAGGGGGCCAGGAGAGCTACTACTCACCTTTTGCCCTAAGTTAAGACTACAATACAAATATTTTGAGGTAAATAATGAGTGTACTGTGTGTATTTTACTTTTTATTGTTTTTAATGCCTAGTTCTATTGCTAACTTAATATACGTTCATGTAAACATGTTATCTGGCATTTATAAATGGAAAAAAATGGCATTCTGGTTTCCGGCAAGAGCCTGGAACCTAACCTGCTGTATAAGTGGGGCCCTACTGTACTAAACATTAATATTTTTCATGAAACCACTCCAAAACCTTTGGCACCACAGTGATGAAATGTTAAGAAATGAGTAAGTATCCATCATTCACAAAAAAAAAAAAAAAAAAATACTGTACTAACCTGCAATGCTTCCAGCCATAGATGCTATAGTATCTGTATCTCCACCTAAACTTACGGCAAATTGCAGTGTCCTTTGAAATTCATTTTCGGTCTGAAAAATAAATTATTTTAACAAAGAGATAGTAAGCTATAAGAAAGGGTAAGGAAGCTATTTTTCTGGGATGGGGGGAAGTGAAAGGGATGAAGGACTAGTTGGCCACTCGTAACTGATGGACCCAAGTAAAGTACTTGAAGTAGGAGAAGTGGTGCAGCCATGGGAAAAGCTCATGAGACTAAAGCCCCCCTAGATGCAAATACTTTTTCTATACTTCTTCTAGTTAATGATTTACCTCCTAAGTTATCACCACTAACACCCTTATTTTATCTTCCCTCCTCACTGGTGGTCTCACCTTTGACACAGACACCCCAACTTTGACAACAACAGATTTAATACATAACCTTTGATTATACTTCCTTTAGCACTCCTTATCGTCCTTACTAATTCTACCTCCATTATACTCTCCACCCTTGCTAGTCTCATTTCAAGCACATTAAACAGTTAGCACACCCTATCCTGCAGCGCTGTATGACCCTCGTGGGTTTAGCACTTAATTTTTATTATAACAATAATAATACACAAATAACCCGCACATAAAAGAGAGAAGCTTACGATGACGTTTCGGTCCGACTTGGACCATTGACAAAGTCACACTAACCAGAAGTGGAGCAGGACGGCTATAAATAGGCAGGAAGAGGTGGTAGTAGTTAGTAGTAGTAGTAGTAGTAGTAGTAGTAGTAGTAGTAGTAGTAGTAGTAGTAGTAGTAGTAGTAGTAGTAGTAGTAGTAGCAGCAGTAGTAGTAGTAGCAGTAGTAGTAGTAGCAGTAGTAGTAGTAGCAGTAGTAGTAGTAGCAGTAGTAGTAGTAGCAGTAGTAGTAGTAGCAGTAGTAGTAGTAGCAGTAGTAGTAGTAGCAGTAGTAGTAGTAGCAGTAGTAGTAGTAGCAGTAGTAGTAGTAGCAGTAGTAGTAGTAGCAGTAGTAGTAGTAGTAAGCAGTAGTAGTAGTAGTAGCAGTAGTAGTAGTAGTAGCAGTAGTAGTAGTAGCAGTAGTAGTAGTAGCAGTAGTAGTAGTAGCAGTAGTAGTAGTAGCAGTAGTAGTAGTAGCAGTAGTAGTAGTAGCAGTAGTAGTAGTAGCAGTAGTAGTAGTAGCAGTAGTAGTAGTAGTAGTACAAGAATGGTATATAATACCGACAAGATGAAATTAAGACACATGCGCAACACCCGGGCATCCCTATCGTAGACGTTTCGCCATCCAGCCAGCCACTGGATGGCGAAACGTCCACAACAAAGACAACCAGACGCCGCACATGTGTCTTAATTTCATCAGTAGTTGTTGTAGTAGTAGTAGAAGAGGTAGTAGTAGTGGTAGTGGTAGAAGTGGGAAATAAGGAGGACGAGCCAGTCAAATACAAAGGAAGGGGAGCACTGCAAGAGAGCTAGGTGCCCACTGAGGGAGAGCAAGCGCACAGAGGTGCGTGAAAGGGAAAGTGGTGAAATAAATGAAAAAGGAACAGAAATACGAGACAGAAGAGAGAAAGACAACCCAGAGGAGAAAAGGAAAGAGGAAAGGGGAAAAAGGAGAAGAAGAAAAAGAAAAAGAAAAAGAAAAATGAGGAGTCAGGTTAAGTCACGGGTGTTCTGAAGTTTGGAGCATTTTACAATGTAGTGGGAGAGGAAGGCATCTACAGAGACGAAACCAGGGCTAAGGTTCATACAGGGAAAGTTGTGTATTAGAGAGGATTCAACTAGACGGCGACTGTTCGAGTTGGAAGTAGGAAAGACAGTTTTAGCAGAAGACCAGTCAATAGGATGGCTATGATCTCTGACGTGACAGAAAAGAGCATTGTTAGTGTCAGCAAGCCTAACACTATTTTTGTGCTCCCTAAGTCTGTCAGAAAGAGATCGACCAGTTTCTCTGAAGTACAGTGGACCCCCGCATAACGATCACCTCCGAATGCGACCAATTATGTAAGTGTATTTATGTAAGTGCGTTTGTACGTGTATGTTTGGGGGTCTGAAATGGACTAATCTACTTCACAATATTCCTTATGGGAACAAATTCGGTCAGTACTGGCACCTGAACATACTTCTGGAGTGAAAAAATATCGTTAACTGGGGGTCCACTGTATTGAAGAGGACATGAGGAGCAAGAAATAGAGTAGACACCAGGAACATCTGTAGAGGGAGGAGAGGTATGAACGAGATTAGTGTGAAGAGTGTTAGTCTGGCGGAAGGTAAGCTTGATTTCTAAGGGACGGAGAGAATTGTTGAGATTAGAAAGACCGGAAATGTAGGGAAGGCAGAGGATAGAAGAGTTCCCAGGAGTAGAGAGTTTGGGAGAGAAGAAATTGCATTTAGCACGTGAGAGGGCAGAGTCTATGCCCTCTATGCCCTCCGCATCTGTGGTCCTCAGTTCCTTCCAGTAGAAATTTCCACTCTTCATAATTCGTTTTCCCGTCTTGGCTACCCTTCCCATTTCACAGACTCTGCCCTCTCACGTGCTAAATGCAATTTCTTCTCTCCCAAACTCTCTACTCCTGGGAACTCTTCTATCCTCTGCCTTCCCTACATTTCCGGTCTTTCTAATCTCAACAATTCTCTCCGTCCCTTAGACATCAAGCTTACCTTCCGCCAGACTAACACTCTTCGCACTGATCTCGTTCATACCTCTCCTCCCTCTACAGATGTTCCTGGTGTCTACTCTATTTCTTGCTCCTCATGTCCTCTTCAATACTTCAGAGAAACTGGTCGATCTCTTTCTGACAGACTTAGGGAGCACGAGCACAAAAAATAGTGTTAGGCTTGCCGACACTAACAATGCTCTTTTCTGTCACGTCAGAGATCATAGCCATCCTATTGACTGGTCTTCTGCTAAAACTGTCTTCCCTACTTCCAACTCGAACAATCGCTGTCTAGTTGAATCCTCTCTAATACACAACTTTCCTTGTATGAACCTTAGCCCTGGTTTCGTCTCTGTAGATGCCTTCCTCTCCCACTACATCGTAAAATGCTCCAAACTTCAGAACACCCGTGACTTAACCTGACTCCTCATTTTTTCTTTTTCTTCTTCTTCTTCTCCTCCTTCCCCTTTCCTCTTTCCTTTTCTCCTCTGGGTTGTCTTTCTCTCTTCTGTCTCATGTTTCTGTTCCTTCTTCATTTATTTCACCACTTCCCCTTTCACGCACCTCTGTGTGCCTGCTCTCCCTCAGTGGGCACCTAGCTCTCTTGCAGCGCTCCCCTTCCTTTGTATTTGACTGGCTCGTCCTCCTTATTTCCCACTTCTACCACTACCACTACTACTACCTCTTCTACTACTACTACTAAAACTACTGATGAAATTAAGACACGTGCGGCGTCTGGTTGTCTTTGTTGTGGACGTTTCGCCATCCAGTGGCTGGCTGGATGGCAAAACGTCTACGATAGGGATGCCCGGGTGTTGCGAATGTGTCTTAATTTCATCTTGTCGGTATTATATACCATTCTTGTACTACTACTACTACTACCACCACCTCTTCCTGCCTATATATAGCCGTCCTGCTCCACTTCTGGTTAGTGTGACTTTGTCAATGGTCCAAGTCGGACCGAAACGTCGTCGTAAGCTTCTCTCTTTTATGTGCGGGTTATTTGTGTATCGTTCCAGTCACGGTATTGTGCCTTTTTTTGTTATTTAACAATAATAATCTAGTTAATGATTAATTTTCACTGTATTATACTGACCAGTAACCACAACAGTACTAGGTAGTTTAAGAAATTTAACATATACATGTATACTAAAAAACTTTTCTAAAGATCATTTCTTCGAGTTTTTCAGTATAATTTGAATTTTTAGACCCCTACCAGAGTGAAATCTTGCTATGCCACTGAAGGACTGCTATATAGGAGGGGCCCACTTCACGACGCTTTGCTTTATGGCAATTCACTAATACAGACATTTCAAATTATGACCCAAATTCCTCCACATGGCTCCCTCCTGGATTCACTATTACGGCATCCGTGCACCAATCTGTTTGTTTACATCGTCCTTTACATCCTCTGTGAACTCCGCATCTCTCGATTAGGAAAATGAAAATGTTTATTTCTTTGCAAAGCTTACAATGTTTGGTTTACATATTATAAAATATTATTTACAAAGAAGGCCACTAGCATGCCTAGGCATTTTGGGAAGATTAATCCTAATTCTTATTCTATATTAACAGGTTATGGAGCAGAACATTTTAATATACATTATTGCATACTGATATAAAAGTTAGGGGATAGGAATTAATACGTGTTTGTCTGTTTCCATTCTCCACATCTCTCATTTACGACGACATCTAAGGGTAGTTGTTAGAAATGATTACACTCAGTGAACAAAGTATGTCAATGGTAATAATAATAATTGCTCTAGGGCGCTTTCAATGTTGTATATTTAGTGGAGGTATGGTAGTTGGGGGAGCTACCGCACCTACTTTCTACAATAAATACTCACCTCCTGCCCTACATTAGGACTACAAATATTTTTGGATAAGTAATGTGTGCGCTGTATAGGCACATTATTGCTCTGGGCACTTTAAGTGTAGTAGCCGGGCAAGTTACCACACCTGACTTCCTACAATAAATACCACTCACTTCTCACCCTACATTAAGACCATAAATATTTTAAGGTAAGTAATGAGTGTACTGTATGTGTATTTTACATTTTTGTTGTTTTTTAATGTCTAGTTCTATTGATAACTTAATATATGATATTGTAAACAAGTTACGAAGCACTTATACGCATTTATAAGTGAAAAAAAATGTGATTCACTTTAAGACGATTTCCGCCTTACAGTTGGGCCCTACTGTCCACTGAAAGTTGGCTTTAACAAAGGCACTTAGCCTAATGATGTATACCTCATATATGTGTGCCCTTGGAAACAACAAATAAATTTATACAACTGCTGAAAGAAAATAGAATTTTTAAAATAATTTGTAGATTTCCCAAATAAAGCTTAGCATATTAAATCTAAAGAAAAATCAACTCATCTAATAGGCTATACTTCTGAGTCAATATAATTAAACCTAATTTATATAGTCAATTTCAATGAATGCAAGCTGTACCCTGTACAAAATATAAATGATTAAAAAAAAAAAAAAACTTTCCCAAAATTACAATAATCTAAGTGCTCCTCTTTTATATTGCAAATGCTATTGTATACATGCAAGATAAATATCAGTTTCGTACCTCAATATCTGCAATAGGATTTGTAGCTCTGATAAATGAATAGATGGCAGTAGGAACAGACATATGAGCAGAAATATAGACTCCTAGTTCCTCTTCCACTCGTTCACAGCTGACAGAATCACCATGCTCCATCAATTCCAGTATTTTCTCTAATCTCGTGACATAAACATAAGGCTCTTCTCCCTCATCCACAATACTGGGTGAGAAAAGATTAAATAAATAAATTTACATGATTGATCTAAAGATTTGGAGTTCTCCTCCACTAGGATCAAACCTGGTTACCTCCCATTTTGAAGATGTTGAGCCATATGTATTTAGCACTTCCACATAATTATAATTAAGAAAATAGCTTATTTTAAGCATTTATGCAAAAAATTTACATTTTATAAGAAACAGTAAATTAATGTGGGTCATACAACACAATTTGATTGTATGTATATGCTAGAAGTTTCTGTCATTTTATATGCTCACAAGCCAGAACATCAACTGGCAATAAACATCATGAAAATACAGAATAATAATAATGATGACTAAATATGATATATGTATAATAATAATAATGACCTTATAAGATTTGTTCATTTTTTTAACCTAGACGATTAGCCACCAAGAATAACCCAATAAAGTCCATGTGTTACTGGGACTGTTGGTCTTATTTCCATTGAGGTCCTTTAATCTGCCCCAGGATGTGACCCACAAGGTACTTACTGCTAGATGAGCAAGGACAGCAGGTGTAAGGACACATACCCAATGTTTCACTCATGCTGGGATCAATCCCCAGTTCTTTAGTGTTTGAGCTGAGGATGCTATCAACTAAGCCATAAGCCATACCACAGAGGTTAGCAATGAAGGTATCCCTTGTCAATAGTAATGTAAGCCTGAAAGTCACTGGTAGTAACAGGCTGGTTAACCAACTCAGAATTCTCAAATTATTATAATCATGGGAGAGCGCTAAACCTGTAGGATTACACAGCGCCTGTTGGGGGGGGATGGAAGGCATTTAGGCTCAATTCAAGGAACTGGATGACAGATCCAATTCCCTAGATCAAAATCCCCTCATTAGAATCAAGGAACCTCCCTTGAGGAGCAGAATTCTCAAAACCTGTCACAGACATTCCTACCAAATTTCTATCATATTTGATAGCCTCTGTAATTTTAATCTTTTCAAATATTATGCCAGGAAAAATTCCTAATTTTAATTTAAATTGGTTCTTCAAATAGTAAGCAATGAGCAGTGATGGGAGTTGTCTGCTAACCCAAAATAACCTGAAAAGTGATAGTAGTGAAAGGGGTGTAGAGGATGGTGGCAGTAAGGGAAGGTGTATGGCAGTAGTGAGTGAGCAGTGCGTGGAGGGTATTGGAATTAACAATAACAAACTTCCCTCAAAGCAATTATCATAAAAAAAAAAGGAAATCATTTGCTATGAAAGAAGCAAATTTCTGCTCCTAATTACTGCCTAGTCCCAAGCTAGACACTTTCCCATTCGTGACCCAGCAACTATAAGATCATTTGCAGTGTTATTGTCTACATTGGCTTACATCTGAGCTTATATAAGAGGAAAAACAAGTGGTAGAAGGAAAAGTAATGGTAAAAAAAAAAAAACTTCAAAATTGCTGCATTTTTTGTCTTGTCATGAAGTGATATTCAGGTTTGAACCAAGAAAATGAAGAAAAGTGATTTCTCAGATTAAGAGCCCTTCACCAATCAGAATGAATCCCTTGAAGGAAACTGCATCAAAGCCATTTTGTGACCTTGACTTTATATCCTATGACCATGAAGCATATGTATAGTATCTCTGTATAGCAAAAATTATAGCTACCATGTTACACATAAATCCATTAAAAATTTAAAGACAAGTTACATTTTCAAGTCTTTAACCACACACAGATGGAATAACAATTCTATTTAGCCAGAGCTGTCTTATGAGTAGTAATAAACTGGGAAAAATGGTAAGTTCCTTTAAAAAACCTAATTAAGACAGATATTAAGAGAGAGTATAAGTAACTGTGACCATATTCATAACATACTCGTCTTCTTGTGGTGTTTCGACCTCCCTCATTTTTGTTATGAGATTCTCAACGAACTTGACAGTGTCCAGCGTGTTGATAGGGGTTTGGAGTGCTTCATACACAGCAAGGCACTGTTTAAAGGAAGTCTGAATCACAGGAGGAAAGCAAATAAATGCTCATCTCTTTATTCACTCATGTTTATGGTTTAGACATTCAGAATTATTGAGTCAAAGGAAGTGGGTGAAATAGCTCTTTATCCAAGTAATAAGAGCCACCCTCCCCCCTCCTCAAATCAAACTCAATTATCTCCTATTTCCCAAGCACTGTATGAACTGACTGATTTTGCACTTCCCTGTGATTATTCATTCATTAATAATAATGCTCAAGATACAGTCCAAAACTGAAGAATAAGAAGAAGCAACCAGGTAACAGCCAAAGTGCTTCCCAGAAGGAATAACTGATATAACTAGTAGTTCAATTCAGTACGGGTTGACCACAACTAATCCGACATCACTGGGACCTGTAAGGTGCTGGATTAGTGATTTTGCCAGATCACAGAGTGGTTAGGTTAGAATACACTTAATAAAGGTTAATAAAATTAATTAACTTCACTTACACAAGAAATTTTGGCTTGTTCCTTCACCAAAGCTCCAGAGAGCTCAACACCTTCACTTACATGCAGCCTAAACCACTTCACCAGAACTTGATCTAGTTCTGAACTTTTTCCTTCCTTCATTGTTTTCTTTTTACACACAATTCTTTGAATCACTGTTAGCAAAGAAACTCAGTAATTTTTCTTTCTGTTTCCTTATGTCATAAACTGTCACAAAAGCCAATGCTGTATATATGATTCACACAAGCTTTTCACAGATACACCACTGTCGAGTTTTTTCAGAAGTTCAACCTTATCTTGTATGGATAATGTATGGTGTTCATGCTTTACACAATGAGAAGCATTACCTTTATTCATTGGAACCATGGCCTGGGCTAAAAGTGAGCAGATTATAACAATAAATGGAGAAAAACAAACTGAAATGACTTATGCAACAAATAGTGCCACCAAACAGTAGCAGCAGATTAGTGCAGCGAACAAGGAAATTTTAAATTATGCTAACGGAAATTAGTGCCAGATTAGTAATGGAACAAGATTAGTGATTGCCGGATCAATGATGGCCGACCTGTACTACATATACAGTACAGATATGTATGCTGCATAATAAAATTATGCCTAAGTTTCCTTTAAAACATTTGTAAGCAATTATTCTGTTGAAGAATAAGTCGTAATACCATCGCTGGAATAATGCACAACTAACCCACAATTTGGAGAAAAAATTTAAATGATGTTTCAGTCTGCCTTGAATTCACAACTTAATAATGGTCCAGAATGAACCAAAATGGAATCTAAATTTTCCACTTAAAATTGTGGATCAGATGTCAACTGTTCTATTCATAATAGGACAAATACAAATCAGGCATGATATCAACAGTATAATGCAAAACAAATGAGAAGCAAATACCAAAATTCTTTGATAATTATGGTCAAGAATTTAAATGAAACTTCATCTTAAAATGCAGTCAAACAATCTTTCATATTTTAAGTAGGGAGGCATGAAAATGTTGACATACTATCCAAAATCATGGCAGAAAATACTAACCTGCAGAACTGCTCCATTATAACCCAGTCTGTTGCCATGAGTTATGAGTGCCATGTCTCGGGCTATATCTATTAGCTCCTGTCTTCTAGTAGCACAACAGAAAAGAGCAACAGGAGCAACTCTCATAGCACCTGTTGGGCAAATGTACAGTATTTTCAAAATGAACACTTTTATTTCCCCTTTACATCAGAAAAGCTTGTGTACATATTTTATTATGATTAAGTGAAAATATTCATCGACCTATACCTTATAAACAAAATACAATGGAACCTCCACTTATGAGTTGAATCCATTCCGTGACCTTGCTCGCATCTGGATTTGCTCGTTTGCAGTCAATTTTCCTCATTTAAATTAATTGAAATGCAATTAATTCCTTCTGGCTCTCAGGAGGAACGACAAAATACTTCAATAATTTCCCTAATATCAACTCTACGGCTTATTTACCTATCAAAATTCATCTAATATAATAAACAATATAAATCTATTTGGCTTATTTATCTATCACAATTCATCTAATATGATATAATAAACAATATAAATAACACAAACCTGATAATATACTCTAGAATGAATAAAATGTGTCATTATGTAATAGGTGGAGGCGGCCACAACCGGTTCCGCTTTGTTATGGTAAACACTGCCATCTAATGACAGCCTTTTGAAGGCGTCTATTATTATAATTATTATATAGTAGATATATATAGTTTTTAGTACATTATTATTATACATGTATAATAATAATTATTATATGTATTATATTATTATTATATTATATTGTACTATTATTATTATATGTCTTCCTCTCTTTCTTTCAACACACCAGCCGTATCCCACCAAGGCAGGGTGGCCCAAAAGAAAAACGAAAGTTTCTCTTAAATTTAGTAATTTATACGGGAGAAGGGGTTACTAGCCCCTTGCTCCCGGCATTTTAGTCGCCTCTTACAACACGCATGGCTTACGGAGGAAGAATTCTGTTCCACTTCCCCATGGAGAAAAGAGGAAATAAACAAGAACAAGAACTAGAGAGAAAATAGAAGAATACCTAGAGGGGTGTGTATATATATGCTTGTACATGTATGTGTAGTGTGACCTAAGTGCAAGTAGAAGTAACAAGACATACCTGAACTCTTGCATGTTTATGAGACAGACAATAGACACCAGCAATCCTACCATCATGTAAAACAATTACAGGTTTTCGTTGTACACTCACTTGGCAGGACGGCAGTACCTCCCTGGGCAGTTGCTGTTTACCAACCTACTACCTAGGATTATTATACGTATTATTATTATTATTATTATTATTATTATTATTATTATTATTATTATTATTATTATTATTATTATTATTATTATTATTGCAATATAAATAATTTGTAATTTTTATTCACACAAAAAATAGAAGATTTACAGTTATGCATCCTACTGCATTATTGTAATAATTATATAAATAATGTCAACCCATTCATGACTGCACAACGGAATGGACAGTGACATCATTTGTTTACTCTTGAACATCGCCAATGAATCAAACATTTCTGCTACTATGAGCTCAATTTCAAGGTACTTATCATCATGAAACCAATCAAAATCATATCTATTTCTGTAATATATCATCCATTCTATCAAATGAAACAAAAAAAAGAGAATACAACCATAAAAACCATACGAAAATACCGCTAAGGGGTGGCTAATGGCTTAGAAGTGAACTCCATTATTTATGGTCCAATTTCTTTCATTTTTGGTGTATGTTAAGAAACATCTTTAAAACATACATTGCCCAAGTTTCAATAAGATAGTCCAACAAACAAATGAGATCTAATTCCCTAGATCAAGAGCAAGAGCCCCTCACACCAGCATCAAGGAACATCCCTTGAGGCCCACTCACTAATGGAAATATTGCTCGCGTATGGAAGCAAAAAATCGACTGATCGATTGGAAAAACTCGCATGTGGATGCACTCGCAAGTGGAGGTTCCACTGTATGTGAATTACTTGTCTCAAAATAATAGTAACTTTATCAAATTTAAAAATACAGGTGGCCCATGGCCTAGTAGGCAATGCTCTCATTTTACATGTTGAGTGTCCGTGGTTCGATCCCCGGCAAGGGTGGAAACATTGGGTGTGTTTCCTTACACCTGTTGTCCTGTTCACCTAGCAAGCAAGTAGGTACCTAGGCGTTAGTCAACTGGTATGGGTCGCATCCTGGGGGACAAGATCGAGGACCCGGAATAGAAGTAGGAGAGATAGTCCCTCGATGATGCATTGCCTCTCTTGGGTTATCCTGGATGGCTAAACCTCTGGGGTTAAAAATTCTATCAAAATCTTATATGTCATTTTAAAAAAGTATTCATTAAATTCATGTGATGAAAGAAATTCAAGCAATATGAATGTGAATTAAAAAAGAAAACATTCCCCACCATTTATTCAATAGCTGTATGGCAAGAAGTGCAATTCTAATGACATCCCTAAATGGCAATAACCCTATCTATCTTTTATTTTCACTTTTTTTTTTCAACAAACCAGCCGTATCCCACCAAGGCAGGGTGGCCCAAAAAGAAAAACAAAAGTTTCTCTTTTTAAATTTAGTAATTTATACAGGAGAAGGGGTTACTAGGCTTTTGCTCCCGGCATTTTAGTCACCTCTAAATCATTATCTATTTAACCCTTCAATAGAACTGCCTTAAGGCTGATGAAGGGCTGTTGATCCAAGGAAATGGAACTACTCTTCCCCTCCTTAGATCAAATCTGATTACCTCTCATTCAATATGCACTGTAATCTTAAGTTAATTTTAAGCCAGCCCGTAATGCTATGCATACAAGTGGCTTTGGCATGCTGCTCTTACCTGTATTTTTTGTACCTCTGTATGTACGCTCAAATTACTAAATAAATAAATAAATAAATAAAATAAATGGGTTTAGTGCTTCCCTATGATTATAATAATAATAATAATGTCTTAAACAATACAATCATAGCTACTGACATAGTAATTTAAAATTATTAATAATAATTTTAAACTACATTACATACCTCCATTACCATATGAGCCTCGGCCATTAAACTGAATTGCTGCAGGACCATAGACATCTTTGAACTTTGAGGCACGCAAAGCAGCAAATACATCAGTAACATTAGCACCATATCCTCGTTTTGGTTCTGCATAGTACTCCTTTACAAACCTAAAAGTAGTGAACAATATCTGTCATCTCAGGACAAGTGGATCAAGAAAAATGTCAAATATTTTATACACTATCACTATGATTCTGCTGAAAACTGGTGCAGATGGTGTACAGGACTTCACTTCTGGCCAAAGACAAATTTTCTTATATTGGGTTCATTCCACCTACTAGGTGTCCACCTGCTGTGCATTTATGGCTAATGTCACTGGTAAGGAAATGCCTGATTTCACAATATTCATATGACCATAGCTTAGCTCCTGAGACAATTTTTCCATAAAATTACATAGTATGCTATATAGCAGGGGTCGGTAACCTTTTGGAGAGAGGGGGCAGACAGCCATGCATTCTTCTCAAACTCAAAGTTGCCATTAGTTTTTTAAACCAATTTTGGCCTAATTCTAATAATATTTAACACAATTTATCACAAATAATTAAATAAACATTATTATTGAATACAGATACCTACTGTACAGTTGTTTTACCACCAGACAACAAACTCAAATGAGAAACTCAAAGGAGGGAGTATATGAAGTAACTTTTCCAGGGACTGCTTAATCTTGAAGTGAACTACTGCATCTGTATTTGATACTAAATAGATAATTAGTGTCAAGATGTTAAGTTGGCAGGCCGGACGAAAACATCACGTGGGCTGGACATGGCCTGCAGGCCGTGGGTTGCCGACCCCTGCTATATAGTATGATTACTATTATGATTATTCATTCATTGCTACAGCATCAGAGATGTACTCGTGGAGTCTCATCTTCTATATATTATTTTCCAGTAGTTCTAACACTTAAAAGCTCTTGTATCTCATTTCATTCTTTTATCACTCTGAACTCTAGTAGTATCTTTTAGACATCTTTTCCCTCAATCTACAACTATGTCCTCTTGTTCACCCTGCTGATAGTACTGTATTAGGAAATCTTATTTATTCTTCTGTAACCTATACAGTAGAGAATGTGGTTACTATGTCCAATTTTCCTCCTATCATTAGTTACGTGTGCTAATCAATCTGAGTTAACAGGGGTCAAATCTTACCTCCTGGTCCTATGTCTTAATATCCCACAATTAAAAAACACATGGGTCTTTGTTAAATGATGACCCCACAAATCCCACTATGACCAGTTTGCTGCCATATAAAATGTAAATAAATTAAGCCTAAAGCTAATTAGTTTTACTGAATAGTACATTACATTACAGCGGAACCCCGGTTTTTGTCTGGTCCAGATATCGTACAATTTGGATTTTGACCACTCTTTTTGGCGAATTTTTACCCCGGGTTTTGTACATCTGCTCAGAAATCGTCCATATCAGACGCGTCTGCCTGCCTGGGATGCCGCCGCTCACGTGTACCTGACTCAGTTTGCCCGTCTCTCATTCAGTGAACAATACTCCACGTGTTCATGCAAAACATTGGTGGTAGAGGGTGGTAGTGATGGTGGTAGAGAGTGGTAGCCATGGTGGTAGTGATGGTGGTAGAGGGTGGTAGCCATGGTGGTTGTGATAGTGGTAGAAGTGTGATGGTGGTAGAATGTGGTAGTGGTTGTGATGGTGGTAGAAGGTGGTAGTGGTTGTGATGGTGGTAGAAGGTGGTAGTGGTTGTGATGGTGGTAGAAGGTGGTAGTGGTTGTGATGGTGGTAGAAGGTGGTAGTGGTTGTGATGGTGGTAGAGGGGTGGTAGTGATGGTGGTAGAGGGGTGGTAGTGATGGTGGTAGAGGGTTGTAGTGATGGTGGTAGTGGGTGGTAATGGGTGGTAGTGGGTGGTAGTGATGGTGGTGGTGGGTGGTAGTGATGGTGGTAGAGGGCAGTAGTGATGGTGGTAGAGGGTGGTAGTGATGGTGGTAGAGGGTGGTAGTGGTGGCAAACAATCGAAGATGTTAATTGTTGTTGGTGTGGATCAACGAAACAGAGTTAGTGGGAGACAGCGTCATGGAGGCGATAATTTGCGAAAAGGCAAGGCAGTTGCATGTGGATCTCGTAAAGTATATGCCAACAAGAGTCTTCGATAAAAGTAAAAGTGATTTAAATGTTCATTTATCTATTAAAATTAGTGTTTTATATTTATTTCTCATTGTTTTCTGTATCTAAAACATTATTCTCCATGAAATGTATTTTTTGTTAATATTTTTGGGTGTCTGGAAGGGATTAATTGGATTTACACAATTTCTTATGGGAAATATTACTGCGGTTTTCGTCCATTTCGGATTTCGACCGACCTTCTGCAACGGATTAAGGACGAAAACTGGGGTTCCACTCTATTATTATTATATTCATGGGTGGTGTAGTGTTAACCCTTACAGCCTCTGGGATTGGGAGGTAAACAGATTACATCCAAGGGGAGGGCAGTTCCAATTCCTAGGATTAAGATCCTTCACTGGCATCAAGGCAATTCACCTTGAAAAGCAGCCTACCTACTCAAATATTGTTTTAGTTATATAGTACTGTATTAGTAACAAAATAAATCAATACAATGCTTACCTTTTTGCCATATCTGTGGCATTATAACTTTTCTGACTAATGAGGGACTGGGCCACACATCTTGTCATTGCAGTGTCATCAGTATACTGCTTGTATGGTACTGTTGGCCACACAATATATACAAAGTTTAAAATACTGATTTTAAAAGCTAAATCTCATTGCTAGACTTTTAAGTTTCCTATTAAATTTACTCAATTCCTTAAGAAATATAGTATCATAAATGCTTTTAAAAAGACAAGGGGCATTTTATTTACTTGATTTTTTTGTTACACAATACAAATACTGTATGTACAGTATTACCAATTCCTTAAGAAATATAGTGTCATAAATAGTTTTAAAAAAATAAGGGGGATTTTATTTACGTGATTTTTTTGTTACACAATACAAATACTGTACTACATTTATTTTTCTCTAACAAAATTAATACAAAATTACTTATATAAACCATATGTAATAAATATGAAAGTGTTTGTTTATTATTTATATGATAATGTAATATCAAAGCATAAATTGTTTAGTGTGTTTTTCAAAGAATATTCTCTTTACCTTTAAGGTCTGGATCACAAAGTCTTTTAAAATATGAATTGAGCACAGAGCGTGAATTGCGAGGTTCTCCTTCAAATGGAGCACCAAGACAGTCTCCCATCAGTGCTCCAACCATACAACCTCTAAACCTCCCAGCCATCACCTCAAATGCCTCAACCATTGCCATAACTGAGGAAAAAATAATTTTAATATTAAGAAACATTAAACCAGTATGAGTAAAATAGTGCTGCTGAGGAGAAAAGAAACATTATATAATATGAAACAAAAAAATTATAACACACTTTAACTCAGGAGTTCCTATTTACACCTAAGTGAACTGGGTAATCCTTTTGGCATCCATCAAAGTCAGAGTTTTTCAAATCACTAATGTTAGGTGGTAGGTTTAGTTTATTTATTTTTTTAATTCATGTTAAGTACTACGCCCATGTGGGTCATCAAGTGCAAGACATGATGGAGGCTCGGTCCTCCATCTGCTGAGTGCAAAACAGATCCTATTTATAAACTGTTAAAGTATAACCATAGGATTTACAATGGTATTACTTAATGTCAAACAAAAATGAGCGAGCAGACAGACTATCTCATTAAAGCTAGATTATGAATGCAAGTAATGTATATGAGAATAAGAATACAGTTTTTTTTTTTTTACATATTTCAGGTTGAAAGAAAGTTCAGCATTATTAATTGTTTCTAGAATCACATTAGGGTAGCGAGGAGTTTCTTACAATAGCTTTTAAACAGCTGGTAGAGAGAGGCTCTGGTGTTATCAGGTAGATAGTTCCAGATTTTGGGTCTTTTTAAGCCAGACACATGGAATATCACAGATTTTTGTGTCTAGTATTATGCCTATTAGTTTTGTGACAACTATCAGGAAAGTGTTTCAGGTTGGGATTGGTATTAGTGTACTGTCCTGTATATGTAGTAAGCACAGTAGTATGAGTGAACGTTGTGCATATGAAGTAGGTTAAAGTCTTTTCAAAAGTTGGGATGTGCTGTCTAGCAGTAAAAAGAATGATCATTCATACTGCCACTTGTTGTTGTATTATTATTGGGTTAAGGTGATTTGCTGTAGTGGATTCCCAGGCACAAATAGCATAGGTAAGGTAGGGATAGATTAGAGAGTAGTACAATGTGGGTAGAGCTGTTTGAGATGCATATATAGTAGCATATCTTGGAGAGGATGCCAACTATTTTGGATACATTTTTTGCAGTGTGTTGGATGTGGGTGTTGAATTTCAAGCTGCAGTCAAGGAATAGACCTAGGAATTTTCCTTCATTTTGTCTGGCAATGGGAGAACTGTAAATCATAATATTTAGTTGGATATTTGTTCCAAACATCATGTAGAAGGTCTTATCAGTGTTAAGTGCAAGTATATATGGGTAGTCATCCAGGTTGATATCTTTAGTTCTTCATTAACGGTGTTGTTGAAGGAATTTATATTTGGGCAGGATGTGACAAAAGTTGTTACTGGCAAAGAGAATAGGTCTAAGTAAGAGAGAGAGAGAGAGTGCACGTAAATGAGTGAGTTTATTTAGTTACAGGTACACGAGTGTGGTTATACAAATTTAGGTGACAACACAATAAGTGTCAGGGGCCCAAGACTTTTCAACTGCCTCCTAGCATACACAAGGGGAATCACCAATAGACCCCTGGCTGTCTTCAAGAAGGCACTGGACAGGCACCTAAAGTCAGTACCTGACCAGCAGGACTGTGGTTCGTACGTCAGTTTCCGTGTGGCCAGTAGTAACAGCCTGGCTGATCAGACCCTGATCCAGCATGAGGCCTGGTCTCAGACCGAGCCGTGGGGGAGTTGACCCCCGAAAACTTCTCCAGGTATACAGTTATTATCATCATATAGAGTAACACATGAAAATTACCTAGGATAACCCAATAAAGTCAGTGATTTACTTACACTGGGGGCTCTGTAGTATCTTATCATTGAAATCTTAAATATAGGATACAGCAGAAATTAATCATCATTATAAACCTAAAAATTAAAACAACAAAGTAACACTGAGCAGCACAGGGACACATAAGTGACACTGCTATTAGATGACACCAAGTTAAACCCAAAAGCACTGCAATAAGTTTTAGGCCCAGGGACACAAAAGTACAATTATCATACAGCATTAATTATCTAGAATAACTCCAAAAAAAGTTAGGACAAAGCGACTTATTTCCAGACCAACCCAGGTATCTTGTAATGAATTGGTCAGTGGTGGCTCATCCATAGGAGCTGAAGAGCGGCAGTCCCCCCCAGATGCTCACTGCCAGGCATACGACTTCATCAACTTTACACTAAAATAATTTGCAACTGACAAATATGTTACAGGAAAAATCTGTTGTATGTTGTTTTCACTGTATTTATTAGCGAATTTTTAATTTTGTTGTTGAAGCAAGATAAAAAAAAAAAAGATTAAAAATAGAAGTTTGATGTGGTACGATAGTATCGGTTGTATTACTGGCATCATGAGCCACCACTGGAATTGGTCAGTGAGCATTAATGCAACATCTGATAAAATAAATAAAAAATTGTAAAACCACCATTTGAAAAAAAAAAAAAATAGCAATCTGCAAAACCACTTGCACATTAAAAAAAAAAGCATATGAAAAAAACAGCAATCTGTAGAACCACCTCCACATTTGAAAAAAAAAAAAGCATTTGGAAAAAAACAGCAATCTGTATTATTATAATTATGGGGAGTGCTAAACCCATAGGATTATACAGCGCATGTAGGGGGTGATGGAACGTATTCAGGCTCAATTCAGGGAACCGGAGCACAGATCCAATTCCCTAGATCAAGAGCCCCTTACCAGTGTCAAGGAACCTCCCTTGAGGGGATCGCAGCTATCTGTGCGGGTTATTTGTGTAATATACCACAGGATGCATACAGGTTTGTGCTCCTCCAGATGACTCAACAAGCTGTAGTGTCTTGTCACTCTTCCTGTCCTGTTACTTTTACTGTGTGGTCACTCTTGTATTTTCTTTTTATTCATTCTTCAGGATACTTACTACTCATCTTGTTGGGTCTGTAAATGGTCACTGGCAGATTACACTGTATCCAGCATGGATTCCCAAGGTAAGTTTATTCAGGTATACACAAATAGTTACATAGATTATCATACATAGCAGCATATGTGTAAGGAACCTAGGATAACCCCCCCCCCCAAAAAAAAAAGACAAAGTGACTTATTTCCATTGGGGTACTGAGAAGATACCCATCTGATGAGACACATGTGCAACAGTTAGGTATCTTAGTTTAATATCTTTATTATGCACCCCATACCCATTCTGTGGGCAGTAGTCAAAAGATTAGAGGTACATAAATGGTCCAGGGACTGGACTCCAAAGTTTTGATAGGCTGGAATATTGCTGCACACTAACACCCCTCAAGGAAGGTTCCTTGATGTTGGTGAGGGGCTCTTGATTTAGGGAATTGGATCTGTGCTCCAGTTCCCCGAATTAAGCCTGAATGCCTTCCACATCCCCCCCGCAGGCGCTGTATAATCCTCCGGGTTTAGCGCTTCCCCCTTGATTATAATAATAATAATGCACACTAACAGCACCTTTCAAGGCAGGTGAAATTGCCGACCTAGAAAATGTACAGAGAACTTTCACGGCGCGCATAACGGAGATAAAACACCTCAATTATTGGGAGCGCTTGAGGTTCCTAAACCTGTATTCCCTGGAACGCAGGAGGGAGACATACATGATTATATACACCTGGAAAATCCTAGAGGGACTAGTACCGAACTTGCACACGAAAATCACTCACTACGAAAGCAAAAGACTTGGCAGACGATGCACCATCCCCCCAATGAAAAGCAGGGGTGTCACTAGCACGTTAAGAGACCATACAATAAGTGTCAGGGGCCCGAGACTGTTCAACTGCCTCCCAGCACACATAAGGGGGATTACCAACAGACCCCTGGCTGTCTTCAAGCTGGCACTGGACAAGCACCTAAAGTCAGTTCCGGATCAGCCGGGCTGTGGCTCATACGTTGGTTTGCGTGCAGCCAGCAGCAACAGCCTGGTTGATCAGGCTCTGATCCACCAGGAGGCCTGGTCACAGACCGGGCCGCGGGGGCGTTGACCCCCGGAACTCTCTCCAGGTAAACTCCAGGTAAACAAAAGTAATGAACTAGATCTGGTCACAATTAGGACAACGTTACAAAGGTAATGAGCTCCAGGTAGAACTGGCCACAGTCATGACAAGTTACAAAGGTAATGAACTAGGTATCTTACGTATTTTTATTCCGAAAGGTGTCGCCTACACAGTAGGCTTCTTCAGTCGAGTACAGAAGAGTTTGCAAGTAGTTTTAAGGTGGTCAGTCCAGTGATGTAACAATGTTCAGTGGGGTCTGACTCATTGTGACTCTGCAATCCTGTTTTTTTCTTCTTTGCACTACTGTTCACAGGATGATAATTGAGTGCACAATAAACTAGCCGTTCAGGCGACACACTTAACTAGTTTCTCAGGCTAGCAGCAGGTGTTCAGTACCAGAGTCTAAATTCTTGCACTAACAATATCTTGCAATCTAATGACCTGATTACCTTCTCCATAAATACATTTAATTTGACACATTTCATTATGATGGACTATTGGTATGTTAATTTCTATTTGTATTATTCTACTTCAAACTCGTTTGCTAGTTCTTTTCAGACAATATTTTTTAATCTTCTTTTAAAGATAATAAACCACTCTGATATTTTTGAGGGGTTATTCAAGTAATTTACCCATGTTGCTATATAAGATAAATGTAATTGTATAAAATTGACTGCATCTAAATAAGGTTACTAAGACATCTTCACTACCCTCGACACCAGCACTGAAGTTCTTACTTAAATATTTTCTCCTCTCGAGGACTATGTTGTCACACTTCTTGTCTTGTAACTCTTGTTTTATTGTTACTCGTCTTGTGTTGGTTTTAACACACTAACACCGGCACATTTTTTTGTTCTTCCCGTGTAATGTTGGTGTTTCTAGGGCCACTACAGCCTGCACCTCAATAATCCCAGGTTCTGTGGAAGAAACTGTGGCCAAAACTGAGCGGCACTTTTGAAAGAGACAGTAGTTCCTCAGTCCATTAATGTATTCATTAATTGTATTGTATTCCACCCCATAATGACGCAAGGTGTGACAATTCCCCCATCTAGAGATGTTAAACTAAAAAACACTCCACCACTGTAATATTTTTTCCTATCAAAACTTTAGGGCCCGGTCCCTGGATTTATTATGCACGACTTAAGAAATCGTAATGACACGATTGCAAATAAACCATACCCCCGGCCGGGATTGAACCCGCGGTCATAGAGTCTCAAAACTCCAGCCCGTCGCGCTAGCCACTAGACCAGCTAGCCACAATAAGATTCATCCAACTAGGTATATTTCTACACCATAGGAAAGTTAGCACAGGCACCTCTGTGACCACAAATGCAAGTTTTTACAGACGAATCTCCAGCTAGCGTGGCCGTGACGAACTCTAGCTCAAGTCCCTTCACTGCCGTCAACATGACTTAAGAAATCGTAATGACACGATTGCAAATAAACCATACCCCCGGCCGGGATTGAACCCGCGGTCATAGAGTCTCAAAACTCCAGCCCGTCGCGCTAGCCACTAGACCAGCTAGCCACAATAAGATTCATCCAACTAGGTATATTTCTACACCATAGGAAAGTTAGCACAGGCACCTCTGTGACCACAAATGCAAGTTTTTAGAGACGAATCTCCAGCTAGCGTGGCCGTGACGAGCTGGAGTTTTGAGACTCTATGACCGCGGGTTCAATCCCGGCCGGGGGTATGGTTTATTTGCAATCGTGTCATTACGATTTCTTAAGTCATGTTGACGGCAGTGAAGGGACTTGAGCTAGAGTTCGTCACGGCCACGCTAGCTGGAGATTCGTCTGTAAAAACTTGCATTTGTGGTCACAGAGGTGCCTGTGCTAACTTTCCTATGGTGTAGAAATATACCTAGTTGGATGAATCTTATTGTGGCTAGCTGGTCTAGTGGCTAGCGCGACGGGCTGGAGTTTTGAGACTCTATGACCGCGGGTTCAATCCCGGCCGGGGGTATGGTTTATTTGCAATCGTGTCATTACGATTTCTTAAGTCATGTTGACGGCAGTGAAGGGACTTGAGCCAGAGTTCGTCACGGCCACGCTAGCTGGAGATTCGTCTGTAAAAACTTGCATTTGTGGTCACAGAGGTGCCTGTGCTAACTTTCCTATGGTGTAGAAATATACCTAGTTGGATGAATCCTATTGTGGCTAGCTGGTCTAGTGGCTAGCGCGACGGGCTGGAGTTTTGAGACTCTATGACCGCGGGTTCAATCCCGGCCGGGGGTATGGTTTATTATGCACCTCTGGACCACTTTGACTACCTCATACACGATGGGTAAGGAGTCCATAATGAAGTCATTAGACTAAAATAACTGGGTGGGCAGTTGCCTGCACACTAAAAAACAGGATATCCCCCAAGTGATGTATATTTAATCAAGTTCTTCAGATACTAACTTAATTATACAAGGTGATGCATGTTAGAGGGTTTTATAGCATTTAATTGTCAACATTTTTTTGCTGATATTTGGAGATGAGGATAATGATTATTATTCCAGTCATGACAGTACTGTCTTCAACTCACTTGTCACTCATGACAGTACTTATTTATCACTCATGACAGTATTATCAAGTCATTGCACTCATGACAGTACTATCTTCAGTTCATGTCACTCATGACAGTACTATCTTCGTACTATCTTCAGTTTGTCACTCATGACAGTACTATCATCAAGTCACCTGTCACTAATGACAGATTATCTTCAACTCATGTCACTCATAACAGTATTATGTTCAACTCATGTCAATCGTGGTAGTGCTGTCTTCAGTTCATGTCATTCATGACAGTACTGCCTTCCCCTCACCTGTCTCTCACGACAGCTCGTCCCCTCACCTGTCTCTCACGACAGCTCGCCCCCTCACCTGTCTCTCACGACAGCTCGCCCCCTCACCTGTCTCTCACGACAGCTCGTCCCCTCACTTGTCTCTCACGACAGCTCGTCCCCTCACCTGTCTCTCACGACAGCTCGCCCCCTCACCTGTCTCTCACGACAGCTCGTCCCTTCACCTGTCTCTCACGACAGCTCGTCCCTTCACCTGTCTCTCACGACAGCTCGTCCCTTCACCTGTCTCTCACGACAGCTCGTCCCTTCACCTGTCTCTCACGACAGTTCGTCCCTTCACCTGTCTCTCACGACAGCTCGTCCCTTCACCTGTCTCTCACGACAGTTCATCCCTTCACCTGTCTCTCACGACAGCTCGTCCCTTCACCTGTCTCTCACAACAGCTCGTTCCTTCACCTGTCTCTCACAACAGCTCGTCCCCTAACCTGTCTCTCACAACAGCTCGTTCCTTTACCTGTCTCTCACAACAGCTCGTCCCTTCACCTGTCTCTCACAACAGCTCGTCCCTTCACCTGTCTCTCACGACAGTTCGTCCCTTCATTTGTCTCTCACAACAGCTCGTTCCTTCACCTGTCTCTCACGACAGCTCGTCCCCAACCTGTCTCTCACGACAGCTCGTCCCCAACCTGTCTCTCACGACAGCTCGTCCCCAACCTGTCTCTCACGACAGCTCGTCCCCAACCTGTCTCTCACGACAGCTCGTCCCCTAACTTGTCTCTCACAACAGCTCGTCCTCTAACCTGTCTCTCACGACAGCTCGTCCCCTAACCTGTATCTCTCGGCAGCTCGTCCCTTCACCTGCCCACCTGGCCCCCAGCGGGGGCCAGGTGGGCAGGGACGAGGGTGAGCGAGTGTTGATGGAACTATCCGCGTGGTTGCCTGCCTTTGTTTCAGGCACACGAGTGCACAGCAACATTGCAGATGACGCCGGCAGCCGCCTGCCGCCCCGCCGGGTACCACCGCACCGGCTCTTTAATGCCACAAGGCGAGTAATATCAGCTCCTAATATGGGATTTCCTTCCTTAGGTCTACCTGTGGAGTTGCATTATTCTGAGGCGAACCAGCTGGGAGGGACAATAATCGGCACTTGCAATAAGCGTGCAAGACTGCCAGGGCAACTATGGTTGCATTGTCTTTCCATTGATCTTGTCAACATTGCAAGCTAATTTGGCGGGCTTTAATTAATTAATTCCTATTATTGTTGGTAAAATGCCTCATATTAGAACTTCGTATTTCTGATCAATTATCATGATATTATTGCACAAGCTATCTAGCTTCAAAAGTACAGACAGAGAGAGAGAGAGAGAGAGAGAGAGAGTGAGTGAGTGAGAGTGAGTTAGTTTAATATGTTTATTATGCACCCCATACCCATCCTGTGGGCGGTAGTCAAAAGATTACAGAGGTACATAATTGGTCCAGGGACTGAACTCCAAAGTGAGAGTGAGTGTGTGTGTGTACGCTTAAAGGGCTCGTAGTCCAAAGAATTGGACTAAATTCCTCTCCTTGGATTAAATCTGATTATTTCCCATTTCCCAGGTGCTGTATGACCCTTATGGGTTTAACACTTCCCTATAATGATGATGATGATGATGATAGTCGTAATAACATTCACATTAATAATAATAATAATAATAATAATAATAATAATCTCAGTTTATATTTTTGTCATCGTTCACTATCTTGTTTTCCTTATTTATCTCAGCCTGATTCTTCTACCTTCATTTTTTCGAGGCATTACACATATGGAAAATTGCATTTATCTGAATGTAACTAATTATGTACGTAACATTAAATGATAACAAAGATCATTATTATTTATCAATGTTACATAAAGTAGGAATTTGGGACACCTAGGTCGCAAAAAATGTTCCCCTTCGATACCTACCACTGTCATAACCACAAGTTGCTCTGGACCTATTAATTAAATGAATTATACATCAGGAATTCTGGTAAATATATAAATTTGTGGACTATATTAAAAAATGATTATATATAAACACAATTACATAACAGAAGGAAAATATATCTTAATATCACTCACCAATTTGACTGGATATTAAGTTGTATCATACTCAGAAAAACCTCACTAACTAAATTTATGAAAACACTGGCCAGAATTATACACAAATCTAGAAAGCTTATCTGAGGTTCATGGAGCTGTTTTGTCCAGTCGTCTGATATCTCAAGTTATGCAGGAATGCATGTCCAACAATTTCGCCTCCTATTCCCCTCAAGGAAGGTTCCTTGATGTTGGTGAGGGGCTCTTGATTTAGGGAATTGGATCTGTGCTCCAGTTCCCCAAATTAAGCCTGAATACCTTCCACATCCCCCCCCCCAGGCGCTATATAATCTTCCGGGTTTAGCGCTTCCCCCTTGATTATAATAATAATTCGCCTCCTATTTGAGAGGTGTCAATCCAATTTTAACCTCTAGAGCACGAAAATTTCTTCCCATTATATTAACGTTGTATCCAGTTCAAAACCAAGATGGCGAGTCTCCTCTGCACAGACGCAGGCTTTCCGTTTTCTATGACATAAATATTATTAAATACAGTATGGCCATCTATTTACATATAAATACTGAATTTCTGGAAAATATATACAGTATTTTCCACAACACACACCGAGAGGTGTGTATATTCACGTATATACACTGAGAGATGATTTTAATTCCCAGTTTATCAGAGTATCCTTGACTCATGGTGGACAGGTGCCATGAAGCCTTCATGACCTCCGTGTAGTCGATAGGCTTTAATCCTAATACACCCATTATCTTCCATTTCTTCCCCGCTTTCTTGTATATTATTTGAATATCATTTATACTGTACTTCTGTTAAGTCTCCCATCACTTGCCTTCTTTTCCTAACCCTCCTATTATTGCATCCCATCCCCATTTCCCCCACTAGAGAGCTATTGAAAAATTCACACCTTTTCTCCTCGTGCTATTAATTAAGAATTTTTATGATTAATCAACAGAGGAGCTTTTATTGTGAGTGTTCGGGACAGTGGACGCAATAGGTGTCTGGAGCTCAAGTTTTCACACCCACTCAAAAATATTTTTTTCTTTTTCTCAAAATGTAAAATA